TTAGTTTATGATCAGTAATTGCCTGAATGGTCGTAGCGTTTTCATAACAGGTTTTGCAAATGCAGTTCAGGTGTTTTATTAAAGATGCGGTTAATTATTTGAGGGGGAAGTGGTTGGAGATACAATGTGTTGCCGTGTTTTAGCTAGGCACAGAGACACTGACGGCCCAGCCGGTTTGAATCAAGTCATTCAAACACAACTTAACCTGTCACTAACTGACAATTAATGATGTTTATTCTAGCAATATGCGGTATCCCAAAATAAACAATTGTGCTTCATTTTACATATGAAAACATTTACATCATATAGGCCTGGGCTCTCTTTGCACAAAGCATCGCACCACTAAGAGTGTAACCTCTACTTTACTTGTCTGCTAAATGACAATTAATTATGTTGACTCTAGCTATACGCGATTACCCACAATAAACAAAGATGCTTCCTTTTATATATGAAAACATTTACATCATATAGGCCTGGGCCCTCTTGCACAAAGCGATCGTACCACTAACACGCGTGCAAACACTGATTTACTTTTCTGCTAACTATGTGAAAGTATGGGACAGACAGACATTTAAAGATTTTTATTTGTGTCTCACTCGTAGGATACATGGTTAAAATATATTTGTCCACACAGAAAATACCAACGACCAATCGCCAGCGATTTACGAAATATATATTATCAAAAATGCCTCCCTTTAATGTGTTCTGAATGTTTCATCATGCTTTTTCAGTCGGAGTGTAATTCTTTTCACTACGACCTACCTGATTGAACACAATGTCAAATGTGTCTTTGTAGGCATGTCGTAGACTATCGAAATCTGATTAAACCACAAGCAGGTAATAGTGGAAAGAAAAGGACCATATTTTGGTGTTCAAACCCAATCGTATTCGATTCATTGTACATTTTATGTTTTTGTTTCTTAGATAATGTAGTTTTGAGAAGTAATGAAGAAGTTTGTTTGTTTGTTTGTTTGATGTTTAACGCCGCACTCAGCAATATTCCAGCTACATGACGGCGGTCTGTAAATAATCGAGTCTTGACCAGACAATCCAGTGATTGACACCATGAGCATCGATCCACGCAATTTGGATACGATGACATGCATCAACCAAGTCAGCGATCCTGACCACCCGATCCCGTTAGTCGCCTCTTACGACAAGCATGGTCGCCTTTTACGGCAAGCATGGGTTGCTGAAGACCTATTCCACCCCGGGTCTTCACGGATCTAAAATGAGAAGTGAAAATGTGAAATTTTACCAATAAGTTTTCTTGTCACATTTGTGTGTTTGATGTGTCACGCCGCACTTTGTAATATTCAAGCTTTGTCCAGTGGTCTGTAAATAATCGTGTCCGGACCATATAAACCAGTGATTAATACTATGAGCAATATGCCATGCCGTCGGAGTATGTCGGGGCAATCAAGCAAGTCTCTAAGGCAAGCATAGGTTACCGGACTTCCCATGGGGATAATTTACATGTATCAAATATTATTCCAATATTGTTAATGTGAAGCATTTCCTGATCGAGCAGAAAATATTAGTTTCCAATCTTCCAATCTGAAGTTGTCTATAAGTAAAAACATTTGGTTATTGTCATATTAACAGAAGTCGGGTTAAAATGGTAAAAACTAACCAAAATGGAACAAGTTGCGCTGGGTGCAATTCCTTAATGACTTATTACCACTGACTGAATCGGAGTAAGATACTTATTTTCTTAAGGTACAATGTACGCATTATTCCCATTTAAACATTTTAATAACATCGAAATATTCTGCACAAGTAATCATAAGTAATCGTTCCCTCCCATAGATTTATAAATATATACTTATTAACATATTAAATATCAGACAAGAGAAAAGAAAACTGGAAAAACGCATTCACATTTTAATTATTCACTCAAACCATTTTGTTTTGAATTTGTCTCCATTTAGATAACTTTATTTTTTATTAATGGTGTGTTATATGCTCAGTTTTTCTCATTAAGCGTACAGTTATAATAACAGTTAATTATGCCTTGTATGTTATTCCTAAGTTCTAATCTCTGACAGCTTCAGGACCAAACACAAGCACCAAGTCGGTATGGGGTTTGACTGTTCTATAAGCGTTCTGTAGTAGTTAATATCTAATTACGATTCTGCTCTTTATAATCTAATTAAACAGTATCATTAAGAATATTTACATTAGCCAAAAATGCGCGCACAAAACCTGAAAAAGTCAGGCGACAAGAGTAATTGTCCTACAGGGGCTTAGTATAAAGGGGAGGCAACTGCTACACAGGTGCTTGTTAATTAACTTTCGTCTGAAACCCGAATAATGCAAATAACAAAAATGAGAAATTTCCGTTATTCACTATATGAAAGGGAGATAATTGATTAAGGAAAGAATTGTTACGCCATGGTGTAGAAATACCGCTTGTGACAATGCACCCGCCCCAGCCTACACAAAATGAGATGAACTCCCGTCCGTCTCCGTCCGCCTCCCGGCCTTAACACAGCACGTGCTCTATTCAGCGCGCGCAGTGAGGCTTGGCGAGGACAATCGCCGCGAAGAACAGCATCTGTCGGGGTAGAGATGGCCAAATGGTGGCGCGTTTATGTCGACACAATATCCACTCCAGCTTATCATAGGTTATATAAAAGTACACTTGTAGTTGCACTGATACAAATTTATATGAACTAGAAATGTTTTCAGTAAATGTATTGTTGGTATGTACACTGCAAATGGATCTATTTGCGGGACTCTTCATTGGAACTACAGAACAGGAGGGAAATGGGCCTTATCATACAATTTGCAATATTCAACCGACATCACTGGGAAAAAGAAATAATCGGCTTTGTACACTGGAGCAATATTGGACCTTATTATGAAAACACCCTACAATATGTGAAATATTGTGTCTATGTACTCTTTCTACGCTTATCTCTTGTGAAAATCCGGGTTAGGATAATCTTTCAGCAACCCATGTTTTGTTTGTTTGTTTGTTGTTTAACGCCAATCCAGTGATTGACACCATGAGCATCGATCCACGCAATTGGGATCGATGACATGCATCAACCAAGTCAGCGAGCCTGACCACCTGATCCCGTTAGTCGCCTCTTACGACAATGTCTTTGTGTATGGTCTCTGATACATGTCACCGTTTACCAATTGCGTGGTACGGCGGTAAACAACAAACAAATCACGTGCACTTCTTTATTGCCAGAAAACTATATAACTGATGACAAGATGGTATGGTGATCAATTTCTTTATCATAAGTTGATAATACAACGAATAAGGCCATGTAGCGCTAGTTCCACATCACTGAGGGACATGCTCAATGCGCAACACGAGGCACAACACGAGGTACAACACGGGGCACAACACGGGGCACAACACGTAAGGGGCACAACACGGGGCACAACACGAGCCACAACACGGGGCACAACACGGGGCACAACACGAGGCACAACACGGGGCACAACACGGGGCACAACACGAGGCACAACACGAGGCACAACACGGGGCACAACATACACAACCGGGCCCGTGGAGATCCGGGCAGAGTACAGGTCTTCACCAACCCATGCTTGCCGAAGAAGCGACTATGCTTGTCGAAAGAGGCGACTAACGGGATCGGGTGGTCAGGCTCGCTAACTAGGTTGATGCATGTCATCGTATCCCAAATAGATCGATGCTCATGGTGTCAGTCACTGAATTGTCTGGCCCAGACTCGATTATTACAGACCGCCGTCATATAGCTCTAATATTGCTTAGAGCGGCGTTAAACAACAAACAAAGAAGTAAATAAATAAACAAGTCAACCTATGTGTGTCTGTTTGTTGTACCATACCTCATTCATCACTAATCAAGCTATATGACAGTGGCATGTATATAACCAAATATGGAACATACAAACCAATGCCGCCGTGATATTGCTGGAATATTGCTAAAAGCGGCGCAAAACCATACTCACTCACTCACTCACGACAAACCAATGATTGATATTGTGAGCAACGACCCACACCGCCGGGGCACGGTGACCAACAATCAACCATTCACCCACCATGACCGCCAGATCCGCGAAGTCGACTCTTACAAGCAGACCAATTCTGACTGAGAAAAGGATATGGAATTATTTCAATGATATTAATGGCAACATGTTAAGAACATATAGGCAATGCCACCATGCGTTGTAGAACTATATGTTTAAATGCAGGCTAAATGTAGGTTCTTGTGCCAGGTTTAGATGTGGTCCTCTCCCCACTGCAGTAGAACCATCACAGTTGATCTACCACCAACTACTTTTAATTACTTACCATCATTCTTTGAGTATTTATAAGATACAATACAGATTGATTGTTTGAAAAGAATTTTATCTGGAACGTTGTTATACATGCAGAAAACTTTCTCTCATGTCATAGTTCCATATAAACATTATGACAAGGTTAAACAGAACTGCGAATCAAGTTACTATATACACTGATTGCATGGACGTATTTATGTAACACTGTAGCACCCATTTATTCATCATGATTATGAAGTTGTTATGGAAGCCTTTTAGGGCCATTTGTTTTTTTGTTTAAAACAATTCTTGAAATTTCAAGGTACTAATTTGAAATTTCAAAATACTAACTTGAAATGTCAAGATATATACTTCGTTGAAATTTTAAGTTACAATCTTAAAATTTTAACTAATTTCAAGATTAGAACTTGAAATTTCAACGCAGTATCTTGAAATTTCAAGAAAAAGAAACAAAAAAAGACAAATGGCCTTATGATGCTTCCGTAAGTTGTACAGCTTTTATATATTATCTTATTGATGTTTTGACCGTGTCTCTTACGCTTTTTACCCATACATTGTAATCAGTATCTATTGCGACCAAACCATTATTAAATAAATAAAATTAATTTAAGATTTTGGAACTTTTGCAATAAACTATACTTGTTTACTAATTTGGCAATGACACAGTTTGTCTTTATTGGTCATTTTAATTTAATTCACTTTTTATGTCCCTTCCAGACAAGATGCCAATCAAAACAACAACAATCGATGACCTGAAGATGGATGACGATTTCGATGAACCTCTCTCTGATATAGATCTCGACCTTGACCTTGATGATGACGATGACCTTGATGATGAAAGTGAAGGCGAGGATCGCCCCGACTCAACAACGGACGACAGAGATGGAAAGAAGAAAGAAAAGAGTTCGAAAAAGAAAGGGGGAAAGAAAGGCGATAAAAACTCTGACGAGCCTCGCGTACCCAAGAAACGGGGCCCCAAGAAAAAGCGAATGACGAAAGCCCGTCAAGCGAAACTGCGCCTGCGCAGGGTGAAAGCTAATGCACGCGAGAGGAACAGGATGCACGGGTTGAACTCTGCACTGGATGACCTCAGAACGCACGTGCCGTGCTACTCCAAAACACAGAAACTTTCCAAAATTGAAACCCTGCGACTGGCAAGGAACTATATTTTCGTTCTGGGGGATATTTTGAAGAACGGGGTTCGCCCTGATAGCGTGACGTTTGCCAAATCCTTGTCGAAAGGGATGTCACAGAACACAATGAATATGGTAGCAGGGTGTCTGCAACTCAATCCAAGAACCCTCCTCCCTGAAACCCCCTACCCCAAACCATACCAATTCATGTACGAAAACGCTAACGAGTTCAGTCCCTCCATTGGTAGCGACTCTTTCGCTCCGGCTTTCCCATCCATCACCGATCCCGGCATGCCATGCGGTCAGCAGCGCCACCTGTCTCCAGCCCAGTTATCTCCCTTCCAGCACCCTGCGCATGTCAACGTAACTGTGCCCAACCAAGGAATGCCCTACAACTCTATGCACCAAAGAAACAGCCATCATGGCGGAAACCGAGAACCATCCCTCCCTACAGGTACAATGACACCTTCGAACTACATGAGGTGCGACATGACTTCTTGCGAGGCGTACCCATCCATTCAACATCCGGGTCACGGTTACGGGGAAGTGGTTGTGGACAGCACCCAGGATTGCAGCCAGTATGTCCTCCCTGAGGACCTCGCGGACTTCCAGCCAGAACCAGTCCTGGAACACGAGTTGGGTGTCATCAGCTCCACCAGTGGTTTGTTCGACGTCAACGTATCCGGTTGATATCATGTCAAAGTCACGCCCTCATCAACCAGTCCCTCCACCGCACACACATCTTAGTACGTTTGGATGTAAAATGTTCTTTAATTAACATTAACCCGGCGGTAGTTCTAGCAATAATCAGAAACGAACTACGCCGAAACTATGAATAATTAATGTAATGCACATAGACACACAAGTGGAGTGTATGAATATATTCCTCACTCGTCTCATTCCGGGACGCAAGGAATTTTAAATAGGGTGTAATTCGTAAACACTCGCACCTTTCCGTAAATTGTAACGACAGGTCCCGGAATAACCCGAGTTTTCCCGAATTGTAAAGTGTGTGTGATGATGATACGTGTCTTTACATGTGTGACTTGAGTGATTACTGCTGTTCAATGCATTGTATAATCAAAGATGTATATTTAACAACCAGTGTATATAGAAGTATCAGGGAGTTTAAACAGAACTCCCTAAAGATGGCAGGCGAAACATTTGTTTTGATTGCTTTATTCTTCCGGGTTAGGCGGAAACGGCTAACTTTTATTTATTTATTTTTTACGGGTTGTGCAATAATTGTGTTGTGTTCTTGTCCCGAGATAGCTTGTACTATATAGCGGTATTCATAGTGCAATAAGGAATTATGTGTGGTATTCTCTGCTGGTGCTGGATCTCGTTTAGAACATGTAGATATAATTATTGCTAGTTAGATCACCTAGCTGTGCCCCATCACAATATAGATATACAGTAACCTACGGTTATAACGAACTCAAAGGGACTACTAATTTTAGTTCGTTATAACCGTAATTCGTTATAAGCATATATACAGTATAACTACAGCAAATAGTCGGGACTAAAAAGTTAGTTCGTTATATCCGTTAGTTCGTTATAAGCGTGTTCGTTATAACCGTAGTTTACTGTATAATGACCCCTCCGTAAATATTGGTAAAACAATCTGTGTTTTGCACACGTAAAGTTGCAGCAATACAAAGGTCGGTGTTATTTACGGGTTACCGTTGTCTAAAACGCTGCGATTTGCTGTGCAGAGTTGCGTCTCTTGTGTGTGCCAGAATCTGATGATCCTGTGCTCGAATCCACGATTAAACCCGGTTATGTCTCTAGGTTTGTCAGAACCTTACCCCTGCTCGTGGGTTTCTTTCAGTGTTGTAACGTCCAAGACCTGCATTGCTTCGAGCTTCCACAATGTGGTAGAGTTGGTATACTGTTAAAAGTCGTGGTAAACACAACTCACTCACTTACGTTTATTGAACACACGATACTTTTGCAATGTACCCCTTTGACTTAATATTACGGCAATGGCCGCCTCCATGGTCTAGTGGTAGAGCGTCCGCCCGGGGATTTGGGGGTTCAGGGATGTTCGGGGGTTCGATCCCCGGCCGCGTCATACCAAAAGGCATTACAAGATGGTACTTGTTGTTACCCTGTCTTGAGCTCGGAATCAAATGGATCAAACAAGGACTGGTCGGCTCGGAGTCAGTATACTGTATCTGAGTGGGGTATTCATGTTAAACTGCGGCATGGTATCTCAGTGGGCTAGTATTATGAAATCGGCATTAGTCCGGACTAGTACAAGCAGCCACACACAAACACACACACACACGTGCATGCACGTCGCTATATAAGTGCAATAACCTTGAACGCGACGTTAAACCCCATTTCACCTCACCTCATATTGCAGCAACTTCTATGTACAGCTCCGTCATATTACCAACTTAACGTCATGGCGTACTGCGAACTTCTTTAGCTTGGACAGTTTCATATGGACTGGATAGCTACAGGTTAACGGTTTAACGGGGTGCTGTAATACAAATTTCACTGTAGCAAATGGCCATAGTGTTCAATAGTGAGTGAGTTGTGTTTAACGCTGACTTGAACAGTACATATTTCGGTTGTGTCACGGCGTGTCAGCTTGATGTGGGAGGAAAGCCCGAAGTGATGCAGGCCTCAGACGTTTACCACTTCGGTGAAACCCACGAGCACGGGTATGGTGCTGACAAACCTAGAAACATAATCGGGGCGAACCGGGATTCGAATCCATAGCCGTAGGTATCCGACGTGCACAAGGGAAGCAACTCTGTAAAGGGAATTGCGGCGCCTTAGACGACTGGGCCACCCGTGCCCCATAGTGTTCAATAAGGATTAACATCATTAAATCTGAAATTCTTTATATACGTGTACTGGTTTAAGCACAAGTGTTAATATTGTCTTTAACTTAGAATGTTTTAAATATATCAGTAAAACCAGAGCATATTATTTATCCGTGAATATTCGTGTAAAGACATACGCGTGCCTTACATGCCTTAATCAGTAGAATATATTTTAAAATCAATAAAAAATATATTTTAGAAAATTATATAACCAGCCTTAATCGTGCAATGTGAGTGTTTTCTAGTCAACATGAATGCAGATAGTTTACTATATATAAATATATTTATGTCTACAATTGGCCATATTGCCTTACACTTATGTACATTGTACACAAATACTTCATTTCACGTTATGTGGACGCTGGAAGGACAAAATTTGGTTTAAAGCATCCATTACAAATGTTATCAAACCAAACTTGATAAACAAATAACTGATGAAAGATTTTAAACACTTCCTTGGGTCCCCTTAACATGAAATACGGGACACATTCGTCACCACTCCCGATCTTCCCAACTTGCCAAAGGCTTGTCACGGAATGACGCGAGAGCACACGAATTCTCAGCCAATCGTTACCATTCGTTCATTTCCGTAACCTACAAGATGAGGTCGGAGAGACGCGAGTGGTGGCTGATGTTCACGTCGCTGACGCTTCTTCGGTTATCTCCCTTGTATTATATCGACGAAGAAGCCTTTGTGGTGTTTTGTAATCAACATTCCAGTGATATAAACACATTTTTTTTGTCAGTATTGAGAAACAATCAGTATTTGTGTGATTACAAACTGCTGATAGTGATTGTTGATTAGTTAGAATGTCTTCCTATTATTATGATTTACAATAAAATATACCAATCATACATTTGTTTGTTATATACATGTGTATAAAAATATATGATAACTCAGTGAGTGAGTGAGTCAGTCAGTCAGTTTGATTTGACGCCGCCTTGAAGAGTGTTCCAGTTATATCACGGCGTGTCAGCTTAATGTGGGAGGAAAGCCCGAAGTGATGCAGGTGTCGGACGTTTACCACTTTGGTGAAAGGGGCGGTCGGGACGCCTAGTGGTGAAAGCATTCGCGCGTCACGCCGAAGACCCGGGTTCGATTCCCGACATGGGTACAATGTGTGAAACCCATTTCTGGTGTCCCTCGCCGTGATATTGCTGGAATATTACTAAAAACGGCGTAAATCCATACTCACTCACTTTGGTGAAACCCACGAGCACGGGTATAGTGCTGACAAAGCTAGGGATTCGAACCGACAATCCAAGATTTCTGTCACGTTAAAGGAACACAACTCTTAGGCACCCTAAACCACTGGGCCACCCATGCCCTTGGAACCATGTTTCACATATAAACCTTCTGACTGATAGCCGGGATTCGAACCCACTGGCATAGGTTTCTGGAGTGCCCAAGGGACGCAACTCTGCACAGCGATCCGTGCCCCCGCCATATTGAGTAAGTAAATTTTACGCCGTGATTAGCAATATTTCACATCACGATGGGCCAGAAGTGGGTGGAAGACTTTGGCCACTGAGCTACGCCATGGCACTATAAAAACGTGTAGATTTGGCCAATATTAGAAATAGTTTTAGAAATAGTTTTATACTACTGTAACTGGCGACTGATGACATCGGCAATGTGATACAGCCATTTTGGAAATCGATATATCTCTGAATATGATAATAAAGGCAACAAAGTTGGCAATTATAGCTACGTGTATAATGACTTGCCAATAAATAATAATAGAGCGTTACTGCTGATTGAGCACCTACTGTTAGACATATCCAATATTCGTCAACTATTGCGACCGTCGGATATAGTGAGTGAATGAGTATGGTTTTACGCCGCTTTTAGTAATATTACAGCAATGTCACCAAAAAGGCTTCAAACGTTGTACCCGTACGGGGAATCGAACCAGGTCCATCTGATATTAGACTGGCATGGGTAGTAGATAACTATTTTGCTCGAAATCCACACATTAAAAAAAATTATTTATTGTCAAAAGATACTTGTACAACATAATTTACGAGACATGATATTACAACGAAGAAGCAGAATTTGTATTTATTTTTAGATACATTACGACATTTTTGTATTATATAAGCCCTTGTATTATAGACATGAAGTTATGATATTTATTCACATAATCCTGGGATATATTATGAATCATAAAAAGTATATTGTGATAAAACTTAAAAGTAAAGTATACTCTGTTTTGAGCGAAGTATTTGGGAAATATGAACAGAAGTGTGGAACCATCGATCATGGCGAAGACCGCCTCCATGGTCAAGTGGATCAGAGCGTCTGGCCGGAGAGTGGGAGGTCACGTGGTTCTATCCCCGGGCGCGTCATGCGTTGTAAGATGATACATGTTGTTACCCTGTCTGGCGCTCGGCAGTAAGGGGAGACAACAAGGATTGGTCGGCTCGGAATCCGTATGTTGTGTCTGAGGGGTATCCATGTTAAACTGTGGCATGGTATCTCAGTGGGCTAGCACTATAAAACCGGCATTGGTCTAGACTGAGAGGGATTGCCGTAAATTCGGTAAGGTTCCACCGTTAGGCCAAGGTGTAGACTGCGTTGTAAGCGTGACCAAATAAATCGTCGTCAAGGGATTCTGGATGGTTGCATTTTTTCAAACCGGGGATTAACAAACTGAATTATTTATTTTTATTGTAGTTAAGCCTTAGCGCTGACATATTCTTTTAATAATTTATTTTGATGACAGAACAATTTGACGGAAACGATGTGTCGCTTGTGGGATTCGAACCATCAAAGTCCGCGCCGACAGCTAACGCTACATTCCGTCTGGCTCCAAATGAGTACGATGAATTTCAAAATTACTAAAAATCGGGAATAGTCTATTAAATGTAAATACGGTACACGACAATGAATACCATGTCCCCAACAATATCTGTTGTTTGGTATAGTTATTCCAATCACTGGAGGGGCGGTCGGGTAGCCTAGTGGTTAAAGCGTTGGCTCGTCACGCCGAACACCCGGGTTCGATTACAGACATGGGTACAATGTATGAAGCCCATTTCTGGTGTCCCCCGCCGTGATATTGCTGGAATATTGCTAAAAGCGGCGTAAAACCATACTCACTCACTCCAATCGCTGGAAAAAGTTGTTTAAGAAATCTTGAACGGAGGGGTGCACAACGGTAGGAGAAACAGCATAGACAAGGGGGCGTCTCATGATAATTTTACTCGCAATCCGAATCGATGATGTCACAGCCCTCGTCATCGGAATTGCTTGTGTCACTGCTGATAGTCACAACTATAGGTGGGACTGTTGCTTGATTATGTCCATCACGTGACCAGTATTTTGACTATATCTGGTTGACGATTTTGGCAACGCATCGTTACCCGACCAAGGGATTCATTTACCCGCAACATCCCGCAAGTTAACGTTGTGTTCAGTCGTCCAACGTCGCCTTTGACGATATCCCATATCGACTCTATTGAGCGTCATACCAAAAAGACGTTAAAAAATTGTACTTGTTGTTACCCTGCATGGCGCTCGGCATTACGGGTTAAAACCAGGACTGGTCGGCTCGGGAGTCAGTATACTGTGTCTGAGTGGGGTGTTCTGTGGCATGGTATCTCAGTGGGCTAGCACAATAAAATCGGCCCGCACTCACGCACAGACGTGCATGCACGTCGCTATACAAGTGCAGTTATCTTGGACGCGACGTTATACCCCATTCTCCCTCACCTAACATCTTCGTATCCTCGTGAACTTACCTCTGTTGTGCGTCATTCAGCAATACTTCAATACTTTTTGCTGTTTTTTATTGGTGGTGGTAGTGGGGGAGGGGGTGGTGGCGGGTGGGGGGTGGGTGGGGGTGGGGGGGGGGTGTTACAGGCTGAAATCTTACCAATTCAGTGTTAGTGCAGCCCATAAATTGCTCGAATTACATTACGAGCAGTTCGCTTAAAACCTCATGTTATATGCTTTTAATATTTGCAATATTATGCTTCATCTTTATGAACATTACATTATGCTAAAAATACCCCAAACCCAGCATTTTAGTAAGTCATTTCGCTATTATATTGTGAGAGGGAGACAGTTGTCTTCAGCGGCACTTCCTGCAAGAACATGTATTTTACGTACGCTTCAAATACCACTGACGAGGGAGTAAGTGAGTGAGAGAGTATGGTTTTACGCAGATATTAGCAATATGACAATAACATGACGACGGGGAAGGCCAGAAATGGGCTTCAAACAGTGTACCTATGTGGGGAATCGAACCGGGCCTTCGGTGTGACGATCGAACGTTGAACTACGAGTAAACCCCACGGCCCTTAACGTATACATAACGTATGTAAACAAAGGTTATATCGGCAGCGATGGTATGTATATATTGTTATGTTGTACAACCGCTGCCTATATATATATATTGTATTGGAAGGGGGTGTACACCATGTTATGAATTCAATCTATTGTACAACCATCCTGATGTATAATATTTTAGAGGAAGCGGATGCACAACATTTTATAAAAGTTAAATCTCCTCGCCCCATTATTTCTAGGTGTGCTTGGGTCATAAACTGTGATTTAAAAAAAAAATGTTCATTAATGGTTACATTTATTGCTGATAAACGTTTAACTGTGTACAGTACATGTTATCGACTGGATATTACTTTTTAACAGTACATATATTATGTATTGTTATCATGTAAATGTTACAAGGTGCGACATTTTAATATTTGTGTCACTCCCTTTCTCTCTTCAGTTGACCGAGTGTTGTGATGAAGCCACACAGAGAGCGTCTTAGCGTCGTCTTGTTGCATCTCATCAAAGGTTTCCATAAATCCTCTAATAAACACCGTGCCTGCATTTGTTTCTGAAGGTCCTTTGACCCGGTGTTTATTCCAGACTTCGATGTCTCTTTGCAACGTCGGTTGAACTGGCGTTAATTCTCAGATTTGAACTAAAAATGCCGGGGATCGCTTTCGACATATGGTCAAATGTGTGTAGGGTTCATTTGTGGAGCTGAACTCATAAAAGTCAGGCAGGTGCTAAACTGGTGTCTACTTACTATTCCTAATATACAGATGTACTGTTTGTATTGTTCGTGTTTCCATGGCAAATAATTGGACTTGGGTCAAACGTAGGTAGAATTCACTTCCGGAACATAAAACAAATCATTTGGAGAAAATTCTAGATGTGTTTCTTATAAAATAACCAAATGACGCTGCATTTGTTTTGTCAACACTACTCCCATGACGCATGTTACATTACACTTGCATAGCCATAGCCACGGTACACGACAAGGAGTTTGTAGTAGGAAGTAGATACAAGTTCTTTTCACTTGAGATAGAGGGGAAACATATTACTATAGCTAGGGTGTGTTACCGAACTGGCCAAGCTTGGAACTTCAAAATCATACCAACAAGTCTGCGGTATGACATATAAATATAGGGGCAGGTATAGGGGTCGTCTCAAAAACAAAACCGGGACGTAAAAGGATATCAGACGGCTTTGATACTGGGTGATTAGGCCTATAGTGTACAAGCTTTATGAGCATAGAGTACCTTAGACTTAAAGTAGAATTCGGTAAGAAGTTAAAGACACAATTAATGTTTCCCGGACTACATTAATTATTGCTCTCCATGAGATGGGATTCAGACTTTGAAAGGTAAGGTTTGAAGAGTAGTCTCCCTTTTACTTAACGTCAACGGTTGTAAGTGTCAGATTTTCATTTTGACATGACATGTGCGATATGGATACCAGATAGTGTAAACTTTGCGGCATAACACATTTGTTTTGGTGTCTTTAGTAGCTGTATATGGTGAGTCGCCCAATAGTTTTATGTTTACCTAATATGATACGGCAACTAAAGACATCATAATAGCAGGAGGGTATGATGCTTCGTTCAGGCCAGCCAGGAGACGTTTGTTTTTGTACTAGATGGCGACTGGCTGATCAGATAGCTTCATTTCCTGAACCCTTAAGGATGATGGCTAGTGCAGAACGTCAACACCCGTGATGATCAAGGTTAGAATTCAGCAATCCATGCTTGTCTTAAGAGGCGACAAATGGGATCGGGTGCAGTGTTCGAAATAAGCACCTGCCCGCAGGCCGAAGGCAGGTAGATTTCGTGTTGGGCCTGTAATTTCAAATTTGTATGGGTCTATATGGCTGCAGAAAACTTACATGTCGATTTATTCGTCACAATAAGCTGCACGTTTTCTTAATTGAGGGCCTGGGTACCGTTTCACAAAGCAGTCGTAAGCTTTTCGATTGTTAGAGATGCAGGATGAAAACGAAATTGCTGCCAACTTCTTCAGTGAGAATTTCAACTTCTGTGTCCGAAAAGTTTCTTTTCCTTGATTTCTTTTCGCAAATGTCCTCCATGCTTCCTTACGGGCGTGTTAGGTGGCTGCGGTTACGCCAGTTTTAGTATAGCTTTGTGAAACAGTCTTAGACCATGGCGTAAACAAGGCGTAAACACAACGAGCATGTAAATTTACAAATTGCTTTGAGAAACGGTACCCTGAAGAGTTTAGTCTGGACATCACCTTTTAAAGGATGTGGGTACAGTTTTTCCAAATTTCAAACCCTGGTGGTCCCACCTAGTGACCAGTTGATGCATGTCATCGTATTCTTATTGGGTACACTGATGCTAGTGATGTCAATCACTGAACTGTCTTGTCCAGATTTGATAATTGAGAAACTACCATCATATAGCTGGATTATTGCTGAGTGCGGTGTTAAACAACAAACAAACATGATAGTAAACAATATCCCTTTGTTATTTCTTTATTTCTCCATTTTCATTACAATACTGGCAGTGTTGTAAACATGATCATGATGACAAACAACATACAAAAATATTTTGATCTTGAAGCAAATGTACAGGTGGGTGTGGTTAGTGTGGACACATCTCCAGCTGTCTGTGATGTTTCAAATTAAAACTACTCCTATGTATAACTTAAATCAAGGGGTAAAAACACAACTACAGTAGTTCTCATTACATGGGAGTTTCAAGTTAGTAGTGAGTGAGTTGGGTTTAACACCGCTTTCAACAGTATTCCAGTCATATCACGGCGTGTCAGCTTCATGTGGGAGGAAAGCCCAAAGTGATGCAGGTCTCAGACGTTTACCACTTCGGTGAAACCCACGAGCACGGGTATGGTGCTGACAAACCTAGAAACATAATCGGGGCGAACCGGGATTCGAACCCACAATCATAGGTTTCTGGCGGCCCAAGGGACACAACTTGCGGCGCCTTAGATGACTGGGCCACCCGTGCCCCCCTTCAAGTTAGTAGGTCATATATTTCCCTTTCACACACACACACTTAGTTTACAACATTCTTGTCATGTCCTTTGTTTTTGTATGTACTAGGGCTGGGACGGGTGACCCTGGTAACTTGGGTACCACCTGGGTCGAGTAGGACCCAGGCACCCACAGGACTACCTGAACCCCTTGCTAGTCACGTATTATATTGTTTAACGACAAAAACTATCTAGAACTCCATGGTTACATTACAAGTCAATAACTTTTGCATTTCTTTCTGACTATGAACCCATTCCTTCTCACCTTTATAGGTTTGAACAAAGATAAAACTTCAGTCAACTTCTGTGTATGCATGACTAGATCGTATAAAATGTGTATCCAAATACATTTTGTCAGGGCAACCCTCAACCTATTCCCAATCGAACATCTTGTACCCAACTCTTGAGACCTACAGCAGGTCCCGGGAAGGGTCAGGTAATAAGGGGTCTCGTACCCGAGTAGTAAATTTGGGTTCGTCCCAGTCCTAGTATGTACACCATCAACACATAGGGCTGCAGGGTAACAGAAACGGAATACATTCACCCAGTATTCTCCTGATGAAGGGGCAAGAAGTGGTCCTGAAAAGTCATTATAAAGAAGATGTGATCCCTATAAAAGTGTCATGTGTTCATGTTCTTCCAACTTCTAAATGCCTAACAACGACTTCACACAACATTGTTGTTTTAAACTGAAGGGATGGATTACTTAATACTCTCAGCCAGGGATTATTGGAAGGGACTACTTTTTTGGTCATTGTTTGTTTTCCCTGAAAAGAGAACCCACCTTTCTTTTTGTGATCCAACACAATAATTATTGATTTATTTTAAAAACTGAGCAAAAAACTTCAAAAAAAAAATTCACATATACTACTCAAAAGACGTTAAGGATCATCGATTCTTTCATATTACTATGTTTAATCTACCCTGAAATGAGAGATTACCTGCAGTAATATGATATAAACAGGTGATCCTTAACTTCTTTTGAGTAGTATAAATCCCAGGACCCATCTTATGAATATCAACATGTCAGTCTCTCATGAACATGATGTCCTAACTGCAATTAGTAACTTGTAGAGGAACAATGTTTCAGGGAGTAAATGAGTTTAGATTGCTGACTGAGTTATGTCATGGCATGTTAGCTTGATATGGGAGGTAAGCCCAAAGTGATGCAGGTCTTAGACATTTACCAATCTGGTGAAACCCATATGGGTATATTGCTGACAAACCTAGAACCATAATCAGGGCAAACTGGAATTCAAACCAACGATCATAGTTTTGTGACCCACCAAAGGAACCCAATTCTTATCCCGCCTAAGACAACTGGGCCAACTGGCCCCTAGAACCATGTTGGACATGTAAGTCTGTTGAATGGCATCCTGTGTGGACTGACAATACTGATGTGTGAACAAGACATCCTTGTTTAACAAGTAACAAGTAACCATAACGCTTACAAGTGAATAAATGTCAGACTCAGTGGATGATGAGTGAGTGGGTATGATTGTACGCTGCTTTTAGCAATATTCCAGCAATATCATGGCGGGGGACACCAAAAATGGGCTTCACGCATTGTACCCATGTCAGGAATCGAACCCGGGTCTTCGGCGTGACGAGGGTACCCAACCGCCCCCTCAGTGGGTGATGAGTGAGTATGGTCTTAAGCACTAACACTAGCACTCAGGCAGGAGACACCAGAAACTGGTTCCACACATTGTACATATATTGGGAATCAAACTTGGGTCCTCAGCTTGATGAGAAAACGCTCTAACCACAAGCCTACATAACTCCCCAATCAAGTCAATAAAACCCGATGCAATTTCAATGATGAAGAAGAAATTCATTGCAATATTCTCTACATATCACTAACAGTTACATGTGTTTGATCGAAACAGTTCTTTCTATAGCTACCAACATTTCCATATGGCAATGGTTGAACTGCAATATATATATGAAAATTTATGTTTCAGATAATGAAATTCAAAATATCCTGGCAGTCTGACTGCATTCCACTTAACAGACATGATTTACAGCTGTTGAAAAGTCTGTGTGATACTCTACGACATAGATACCTGAAGATTGTGGGATGCACCCCTACATTCTGGCACGAGGTGGAGGATGGGTTTTATGTGGATTGGTAGCAAGAGAGTAGAGCTTAAAAGTCAATATACCAGCAATAATGCAGCAGGTGACACAAGAATCGGCTGAATTCTTTCACCTATGTCAAATGTGGGGCATCAAACCCTACAAGGAACGCTTTTACCTCTGGAATTAACCACCATGGTTGGAGGAGTGGCATCTCAACATTGTGTTACTTGAGTAGAAGTTCGAAAGGATGAGTATCCTTCCAACCTTCACCTGTGTTCTTAAGTCTGCCATGCTCCACTAGTCCTGTGACGACCATCCACTAAATATGTACCTCATCTCACTCTTGGCTGATGTTACAGCAAACTGACAATAAACAGTTTCAATCAATTACCAATAACATGCAACACATGCATTCATCTATCACAACTCACCCCTTGTTTATTAATGAGTTTCAACCAAACTTCACTAAACAACCCCATTGTTGAGTATCTACCAATCTTAGTCCTACTAGAAATTAGTCATCACATGTACATCGCCCCTCCCAGCAATGTCCCACACAGACACGCTGGATCGGATGTCTTACACTAAAGGAGAACTGGATGGGATGTAACAAACTCCTTTTACACACAACCTCCACCTAGTCAATGAAAAGTTTGTCATATCTCGCAACATTAGTATGTTCAACACGTAAGGCCATCGCCATGGGTTAATTGTTCCAACCCAAAGCTGCCTGACTAAAATGTACAGCAAATGCTCCACAGGGAACATGCTTTGCAGGATGTCATCCAGTTGACAGGACAGCCCCTGCTTCCAAGATGTTTACCAGTTGAGAGGAATTCTACTTGTTCTTGGGAAGGCCACCTGAGCACAGGAAGTCTACCAGACCACAAGACGCTCACATTGCATTGCAAACGACCATCTTACAGTGAGGCTACCTGACCACAGGAAGTCCACCAGACCACAAGACGCTCACCTTCTCATTGCAATCAACCATCTTACAGTAAGGCTACCTGACCACAGGAGGTCCACCTTTACAGGAAAGCCACTTGCTCATCATAGTTTTCATCCACATCAGGTATCTTCCACTGACACTTGCGTCCGAACTCGTACATCTCCTTGATGGTGCCCTGAACCTTGTCCTCCCCCTCGTCCTGCAACTCCTTGTACTTCTGCTGCAGCTTCAGGGCAGTGATGGCATCCTCCACAGAGTCGTGAGTAAACGACTGGATATTAATTTCTGGCAATGACACACAAACAAGCATAAGTCAACCTAGACTGGAGCAAAGCTTTGACACTCATTTGTGAGTGAGTGAGTGAGTGAGTGAGTGAGTGAGTGAGTGAGTATGGTTTTGCACCACTTTTAGCAATATTCCAGCAATATCAAGGTGGTGGCTTGAAATTGGAAATTCCAGAATTGGCTTCACACATTCTACCCATGTGGGGAATCCAACCTGGGTCTTCGGCATGACAACACTTTAACCACCAGACTACCCCACCGCCCCCACATAAGGAAGAGAACTTATGGATTTCAACTTCTTTATTATGAGGAACACAATGTTTTGGAGTATCTACTTACTCCTTCATCAGGTGAATGTACTCCGAAACGTGTTCCTCATAATAAAAAAGTTGACATACATAAATTCTCTCCCTTAGACTGGCGCAGTTTCAATTTTATTATCATAACATCACAAATATCACAAATAGTATATAACACACAAACAAACTCACTGAGGAAGTACCACGCTAGGAACTTGAGTGAGATCATCCTCTGTCTGGGGAGGTGAAACAGCTCCACTGTATCAGTCACCTGGTCCTTCCGCACCTGCAACATCAACAACATAGTGTCAATCATGATTGATTGTTTGACTGATTGTTTGTTGTTTAATGCCGCCCTCAGCAATATTCCAGCTATATGATGGCAGTCTGTAAATAATCAAGTCTGGACCAGACAATCCATTGATTGACATCATGAGCATCGATCCACACATTTGGAAGGCCTATTCCACCCCAGATCTTCATGGGTGGTCAATCATGAACAACAACTTGAAGATACAGGCATTGCTCTACTATCCTTGTATACATTCACGTGTAAACAAACTCATTTAAAATAATAAATAACAAGAGCAATAACTGTTAAATTCTTGATGGCAGCTTTCAGATTTGAAACCATATATTCATCACTTCATGATGTCAGCATGTAATCCTCTTCATTGAGGTTTCTGAGAAAATGTGCCATTTGGGAGTACAGTCAGCGTTAGAAATTGGCACTAGTCCTGTAGTCCTTGCCAAAATGCCCAATAGTCATAAGGACTGGTAGAAATTTGCCATTTCTAAGGGTTTTGCTAAATACTATCATTATAAAGACAAGGGGACTAAAATGTTAGCTTCTAACGCTGACAGTGGACCATGTCAAAAACCATAAGACAAGGGCCATAACTCTGTAAAATACTAAGTCTAGACAATAGTTTTGAATTTTCTCCTCACTATTCACACTATTTACACACTATTCCCTCAATGATATCACCACAATATCCAACTTTGTGGCACAGGATGAAGAAGACCACAGCCTTTTTGATTCACTACCATTCTGAGCTCCCATCAACAACTGAGAGTGAGTGAGTGAGTGAGTTTGATTTTTCGCCGCATTTAGCATTATTCCAGCAATATCATGGCGGGGGACACCAGAAATGGGCTTCACACATTGTACCCATGTCGGGAATCGAACCCGGGTCTTCGGCGTGACGAGCGAACGCTTTAACCACTAGGCTACCCGACCGCCCTCAACAAGTGGGAACTCACCAGTATATTGATGACGCGGAAGTCCTTCTTCAGTCCATGGCCCACAAACACAACCCCAGCATCAATGAGGTAGCGTAGTTTCTGGTAGGTGGACTTGAGGGTGGTGAGATGCTTGGTGGAGACCGCAGCATCCAAGTCACCGGGCTTGATACCAGAATACTGGGTCAGGTAGTCGACCACCTGAACATGGACACCAAGTCATGGTTATTGGGGGACAACAGAAGACATAATATTGAAAGGGTGAGGTGAGGTGAAATGGGGTTTAACGTCACGTCCAAGATTATTGCACTTATATAGCGACATGCATGCACGTGTATGTGTGTGTGTGGTTGCTTGTACTAGTCGGGACTGATGCCGATTTATAGTGCTAGCACACTGAGATACCATGCTGCAGTTTAACATGAATACCCCACTCAGACACAGTATACTGACATCGAGCCGACCAGTCCTTGTTTTAGCCCCTTAATGCCGAGCGCCAGACAGGGTAACAACAAGTACCATCTTTTAACTTGTTTTGGTATGACGCGGCTGGGGATCAAACCCCGGACCTTCCGCTCTCCGGGCGGACGCTCTACCATTAGACCACGGAGGCGGTCCTCTTTGCAATGGAGCATGGTCCATAATTTGGTGGTGTTTATGGGGGAAGCCATCAGATTTTAACAAATTTGTGGTCACTAAAATCTGCGGATCTGCGGAAGATTCACAGCCGTGAATATATTGTGTTTGTGTGTGCATGGTTTTTTGTTTGTTTTTTTTTCACTGAGGAGAGTAACAGCTAACATCCGTCTCACCTGTTCTGGGTTGGCGATGTAGTCATCTATGAAAGGCTCCCCAAACTGAGGTCCTTGTCTGTCAAACAGAAGTGTCGTGACACAAATAACAACACCATGGCAACAGTGATTGAGCTTCATATTCATTATTTACAATATATAAAAAAGCGACTTGAAAAACAACAATGTTTGTTGATGGAATGCGGTCACAGTTTTGGCTTATCACATGTAGCAATATGCATGTGTGTGTGTTGATTTTCATACTAGTCCAGACTTATGCCATTTTTTTAGTATGATACCATGTTTTAATATGAATACCCGACTCAGACTCATTGTACTGACTGAGCCGATCATTCCTTGGTTGACCACCTTCATGCGGAGTGCCAGCCAGCATAACAAGAACTTTTTTAAAAAGGTTATCTTTTGGCCAGGGAAATGGACAATTCCAAGCAGATGCTCTTTCCACTACACTACAATACAGAGGCAGTTCTTGAAAGAATGATTGGACATGATGACAATGGTGGGTCAGAGTGGAGTGGAGTGGAGTGGAGTGGAGCGGAGTGGAGCGGAGTGGAGCGGAGTGGAGCTTGTGGCGTGGCGTGGCGTGGAGTGGAGCTTGTGGCGTGGAGTGGAGTGTTCAGCGTGGAGTGGAGTGGAGTGGAGTGGAGTTGCGTTGCGTGGAGTTGCGTGGAGTGTGTGACGTGGAGCGGAGCGGAGTGGAGCAGAGTGGAGTGGAGTGTGTGGCGGGGAGTGGAGTGGAGCGGAGCGTGTGGCTTGGAGTGGAGTGGAGTGGCATGGAGTGGAGTGTGTGCCATGGAGAGGAGCCACATTAAACCCATGTGGGTACTAAGCACAGGTTTTAAACACGTCAATCACGAGGCCACTGCCTCCCCAAGGAACATCTGAGAGAGAAATGAAGCACCTACCCCCTTATACATGTAATCCTGGCGACAGCCATGTGGGACGGTTTGATGGTGGAGCGAGTGCCGTCACTGCGTAGCTCAGATTCCTCCTGCAGGACAAGGAAGGATTTGGTTATAATCCTGAATTTGAGCGAATGAATGTTTTATGCCAAAGACAATATGTTCCAGCTATGTTATAGTACAGTCTGTGACTTTAGCCACTAGTCTAGTAGAACTCGGTCTAATTAGCTCAGCTAATAATTAGCCCATAAATCAACATAAGTTCTGCTGAAAACGATGCTAAGAGCCTTGTTTGGGTTGGTGGACTAAACGTTTTTCACACAGACCGCAGTTAAACTATTTTGACCAAGGTTAGGCAAACCAGTGTTTGTTTTTGTTTGTTGATTAACGCTGCAATAAAAATATATCAGTTATATGGCCGCCATCTGTAAATAATTGAGTCTTGACCAGACAATCCAGTGATTGACACCAACAGCATTGATTGATACAATTAGGATATGATGACATGCAATCAACAAAGTCAACGACCCGTCCATCCGATCCATTTGGACACCAAGCATGGGTTGCTGGGAATCTATATTCTTACCCGGAACACCCATGAGTTCATGAGTCAATGAAAGAGAATAAGGCATTGAAATAATCAATGAGTTTCTCACCTCCTTGAGTGAAACAAACTCAGCATCGAGACCAACGATTTCCTTGGCCTTTGGCAAATCATCTGGCTGAAGCGGTGTGAATGTCATCTTGCGCCTCTTTGGGTTCATCAGCGACAGGTCATTGAAGATACAATCTGATCCAACCTGATTTGTTACTGAAATGTCAACGCCACAGTCATAACAGATGTGATTAGCATTTCTTCATATTATCTTGTCAATACTAGACTAATAAAAATAGTGGTATTGGTCTTCAGGCACTGCCTGCATTATCATTAAGTGCGTTGCATGTTTCATTTTTATTTCCATTTTTAAAGGAACAAAAAAAGTCCAATGGTAGTCAAGTACTGTATTCCAGTATTTTCCTCATCCAGAAATGCATTTATGTACATGATGTAGGGAGGCCCTTTCCCAGGTTGATTGTACACTACTGTTTATTTGGTTAAACAAATATATTTGGTTACATACTACTTTGAAGAACCCCCCCAAAAAAATAAAGACAACCCGCCCACACTTTATTTTCAAAAGCCATTGCGTGAAAACCAATTCTTTTATTTTATTAAGCCCTATGCACATCAGATTTTCAACCAACATTACCTAGTTTCACTTCAAGCAATATCTTGACGGGAGTGAACAAACGTAGTCAAAATGTGCCAATGTTACTGTTCATATTAGCAATACAAGTTTACGGGACACGTTACTTAGAGCATCAACAGCCACTCCCCGCCCTTGACTTGATTACTTACAGAGTGATGTTATATAGCTAGAATATTGCTAATATTGCATAGTGTCGGAAATAACTGCCTGCCCACCTGCCCGTGGCTGGTAACTTTTCTGTCGGACTGCATGAAAGTTTCCTCCACCTGCCCAACTGTCTGGCAGATAAGCTTAAGACTACTTACGTATTCAGTTTTATTATAACTCATCATAGAGTTTCAAGTAATTGTTTGCATTAATTCAACTGAATCAAGACACAATTTGTCTCATATATTTTGTGATTTTTCAATATTTATGTCTGAATGCGAGCGTGTAACTTTGAAGATGGGAAGGTAACACTTATGGGTCACCTGCCCGACTGTCTTGTAACATTTCAAAATTGTTTCAAACAGTGATATTGTGCACGAGAAAGTAAAAATTAACCTGTCAATACCACCTCCAAAGAAAACTACCTTTCAGCCACAAAAAAGCAACTAAATGGAAGAATTTGTCTCACAACAATAAACAGATCCTGTCTTCAAACTGCAGGCCAACACTTGCATGTGTGAATGGCTGAATGCAGAACTCAAACCTTTATGAGAATGAAATAAATATCAGTAAAGGGTTCCCCACCTGTGAGATCATGGTACCGGGTGAGATTCCTCTTGACGAAGTAGATGGCACATGGAACCTTCCAATCCAGGTTGAAGTGAATCGCCTCATACTGTCAACATGAAGTTCGTGATTAACACATGCATCTGGGTTCAAACAAACTACACACAGTGTAACCAATTGAGGCTGCAAACTATAGTGAGTAAGCGGCCATTCAGATTACACATGATTTGCCTTGAATAACAGACCCGTGAAGATCTGAGGTAGAATAAGTCTTCAGCAACCCATGCTTGCCGTAAAAGGCGACTATGCTTGAGGCGACTAACAGGATCGGGTGGTCAGGCTCACTGTCTTGGTAGATGCATGTCATCATATCCCAATTGCATGGATTGATGGATGCTCATGATGTCAATCACTGGATTGTCTGGTTCAGACTTGATTATTTACAGACTGCCGTCATATAGCCGGGAATATTACTGCGGCGTTAAAAAACAAACAAACAAAAAACCTTAAATAACAACATACACCATCTAGATCAACATCAATTTTCACAAGTTGAAAGTATGACATGCTTTAACAAATTATTATCAGGAATAATCTAAATGAATCAGGACAAGACAATCCCTGGAGTGATGTTATGTGCAACGATGCCTGGCCATCCGATTTAATTAGTCGCCTTTTTCGACCAGCATAGGTTGCTTCGGAACTACTTTAAGCTGTTATCCTGATGCTGTAACTCAACACTCACCTTCTCAATAGGTGTGATGGAGAAGTCATTGAAGAGGTACCACTGAGTGCAGGTGACCTTCTCCTTGCGCTGGTGGAACTCCTCGCCCACCAAGATGTGACTGACCAGGTTGCCGCCCGTCTTATCGTGGACGTGGGTGACAGTGGCGTAAAGCTCGTAGTGCTTCACCTTTTCATCCTCGATCTTTGGCAGCGGCTCCTGGAAATGAGTTGCGCATGTAACAAACTGTCTTGGAATCAAAATGTCTTACAATCGATTCTTTAAAGAACATTTTAGAGGATGATAGGAAATGTTTTACTCTGCAATTACAGTGGACTCTGTAAACCTTCATCTGAGCATTCCGGCACTTTCTCATCTTCCCAAGTGTTCCCTAGCCTATATCAATTTTTTCTAAGCTCATTCACGGTGTTGTGCCCCTTGTGATGAAAATGCGATGTCCAATCAGACAATCACATTGCTGTTCTTCTTTCACATGGCTTCACAAAGCTGGCGACTACCATAGATCAGATCAGATAACAAAAAGATTTGAGATTTCATCCCTGACAGACAAACAAAATGACACACATGGTCGTGTGTACAACACACAGGTCACAAATAAGACAAAGTTAAACAACTGGTCGTGGCCAGTAATTAGATGGGTGACCGCTTGACTTGAGAATTTCTATGGCTTTAGTCCTGCCCCACACAGAAACACATGTAGTAACATGTGGAATCTCCTTAGGCAAAGATATAACGTGCCTTGTTCACCCAGCAGTGAATGGGTACCCAGTAGGATGAAATGATAACATGACTGTTAACCTTTTAGCATCTCACAGGGTTGTGTGCTCCCTAGGGAGCTGAGAATGAAATCGAGTGCACACTGATCCACAAGCTCCTCACAGTGGGAGCCTGTTCGCGCAGCTCTCCATACTGCCGCTGCCACCAGTCAAAGCTCCCCACTGTGATAGGTGGCCATAATCATGCTTGGAGTTGAACTCGCAACTGACTGGCCGTTTTGATTAAAAACAAGTGATGACTGCAATGACACTGTATCCTCTTACCCCAGCTAAATTAATTTCTATGTTTGTAAATTTGTATTTCTGTTTCATTACAAGTATCTTGTAATTAGATATAGTAAGAATGTAAGGGGGAAATCTTTTCAAACAAACAAAAAGGTAAATTTACATGGGAAATATGGTCAGTAGTAAACCTTTTAAAACTTCACTATGACTGCATTGCCAAAGACAGAAACAAAAGTATCAACATTACTACATTTGGGGTTAGAAGGCAAATTTCAAGATATTTGTAATGGCCGTGCCTACACAGATGGCGGCGATATTACTGAGAGGGTAACGAAGGTGTCACATGCTAGGAAGGAGCTAGGCAGCAATAGTATAGATAGCTCCATGAACTGGCTACCGCTGTGAGGAGCTTGACTGATCCACTGGCAGGGGCAATAACAGTGTAGTGTTCTGAACAAGCCCTGTGTAGCATATATATATAGCGCAATCTAAATGGCCTTTCATAATTAACGTCGGGATTACACTGACCTCGTCCGACACCTCTGTGATCCTGACTGTTCCATCATCGTTCAGTCCCATCCTGAGCCCCAGGGGCAGCCACTTGGGGGATGTCTCCTCATCCTCCACTTGTTCCAGAAGCTCATCCAGGATGCTACTGCAATGGGGGAAGGGGGAGACATAGTAACTCACAGCAGGGCTTGATGTCATAGAAACTGTGTTCAGTGACACATGTGATAACCAACAACGAAGGGACCAGGGACTAGTCAGTAGCAAGCAGACCCTGTGAGCATGCTATACATGGGTGTGGTGCTGCCAAACCTAGAAACTGTGTTCAGTGACACATGTGATAACCAACAACAAAGGGACCAGGGACTAGTCAGTAGCAAGCAGACCCTGTGAGCATGCTATACATGGGTGTGGTGCTGCCAAACCTAGAAACTGTGTTCAGTGACACATGTGATAACCAACAACAAAGGGACCAGGGACTAGTCAGTAGCAAGCAGACCCTGTGAGCATGCTATACATGGGTGTGGTGCTGCCAAACCTAGAAACTGTGTTCAGTGACACATGTGATAACCAACAACAAAGGGACCAGGGACTAGTCAGTAGCAAGCAGACCCTGTGAGCATGCTATACATGGGTGTGGTGCTGCCAAACCTAGAAACTGTGTTCAGTGACACATGTGATAACCAACAACAAAGGGACCAGGGACTAGTCAGTAGCAAGCAGACCCTGTGAGCATGCTATACATGGGTGTGGTGCTGCCAAACCTAGAAACTGTGTTCAGTGACACATGTGATAACCAACAACAAAGGGACCAGGGACTAGTCAGTAGCAAGCAGACCCTGTGAGCATGCTATACATTGGTGTATTTGGTGCTGCCAAACCTAGAAACTGTGTTCAGTGACACATGTGATAACCAACAACAAAGGGACCAGGGACTAGTCAGTAGCAAGCAGACCCTGTGAGCATGCTATACATGGGTGTATTTGGTGCTGCCAAACCTAGAAACATGACCAGGGTTACACTTGCATTTGAGCCCATGATCATAGTGTGTGAGTGAGTGAGAATGATTTTATGCCGCACTTTGCAATATTCCAGCAATATGAGGGTGGTGACAAAAACATTGTACCCATGTGGGGAACCAAACTCGGGCCTTCGGCGTGACAAACGTCTTAACCACTAGGCTACCCACTGGTCCCCGTGATCAGAAGGGAAGTTTTAAGGGAGGAACTCTGCTCTGCAAATACCAGCGCCTCAGGCTACTTGTGAGGGTTAGAACTTTACTATATCATCCAGTGGTCAGAATGTGCTCGGATCTGAGCAGAGATTGTGGAGTTTCAAGTTACAAAATGACATTCCGTTAACAGGTTCAATGCTGGTCCTTATGCAGAGGGGCCTTGGGATGGTGGATCTTTAAGACAGATAACGGAGATCATATTACCAAGCAAAAACCACTGGGTAACAAAGTAAATTAATGATAATGACTGCTGCAGAATGGTCATCTGTTTAATGTTAAAGTGGTAGTCCACAAGGAAATGTCACTAGTCAATCCTGAATCTTACCATTCTCAGACTAGCGGACTTTCAATTTCGAACCCTGCCCATTGTCCTTTAAATGAGTGAGTGTTACATCACTTTATCCCTGCAGCCTGTATATATCCTGGGCTGGAGAATCAAGTGATTGAAAGAAGGAGCAACATGCTATAGCTACTGGGGCATGATGACACACAACCAGCCAGATCACCTATGTAACCACCTGATCCTCATTTGTCAGCTAGTACAACAGGCATGTACTGAGGCCTGGTCTACCAGAACACCCACAGGGTGCGGGTTAGCGGCACGAGGATGTCAGGTGATGAACACCCACAGGGTGCAGGTGAGCAGGACGAGGATGTCAGGTGGTGAACACCCACAGGGTGCGGGTGACTGGGACGAGGATGTGAGGTAATGGAACATGGGATCCCTGTGTACACCTGACAGGTGCGGCGGACAGAGCGGTTCACTTACTCATGCTCAGGGTCATGCTTGAACTTGCAGTCCTTGCGTTTACATGCGCTGCCATAGCGACAGCTCTTCGCCATCCGACGAGAGGACGTAGCAGGATGCACCTGGTTCTCTTCATCTTCTGCTCTCACAATCTGTAATATGAAGTTGATGTATCATCCAAACACTTAATATACGTAAAGATTTATTTGTCACAATAAGCTGCAGTTTTCTTTAATGAGAGCCTGAAGATTTTAGTCAGCGCCTGCAGCTTCTAAAATCTGTGGGTCCTAAACGCAGCCTTGCAATTCAATTCTTTATTTTAAACTCACCTCATGCTGGAGCCTCCAGAAGTTGAGGTCCTTCTCGTTCTCCAGTTGGCAGTTGAGGGCCAGGACATCCGGCAGGTTCTTGAGAGCCCTCCGCTGGGTCTGTGGCAAGATGGCAAATGTTAATATGATTGAGATAGCAAGCACATATCAATATTCACCACACTAGACAGATTTAATTGCTTTGGGAAAAAGTAATCGAGTCTGGTTTTACGCCGCTTTTAGCCCTAGCCTAGTGAAGGATATGACCTGGTTAATGACAGGATAGTAACAGGTGAAAGCAAGCCTAAGCGACACAGTCTTGACACAGTTAACAGTGGAACCATTGACGACGGGGACATACATGCCCCCATGCACAGTGAGTGAGTGAGTGAGTCTGGTTTTACGCCGCTTTTAGCCCTATTCCAGCAATATCACGGCGGGGGACACCAAAAATAGGCTCCACATATTGTACTCAAGTGGGGGATCGAACCTGTGTCTTTGGCATGATGAGCAACTAGGGTACCCGAAATACACAAGAAAATATGGTACATCAGGGCGCACTCAGCAATATTTCAGCTATATGATGGCGGTCTGTAAATAATCAAGTCTGAACCAGACAATCCAGTGATTGACATCATGAGCATCGATCCACGCAATTGAGATACGACGACATGCATCAACCAAGTCAGCGAGCTTGACCACCCGTTCCCGTTAGTCGCCTCGTACGCCAAGCATAGTCGTCTTTTACGGCAAGCATGGGTTGCTCATGACCTATTCTACCCCGGATCTTGACGGGTAGATTGACTGTGACATGTATAACGTGGCTGTACGTACATGTTGCTGGTACCGTCCACACTCGTTACACCAGGCCTGCATGGTGCCTTCTCCCATCAGGCTGTGCTGTATCACCTCAGAAAACTTGTACTTCCTGGGACCTTGACCTATAGTGGAACAGTATCATAACATATGACAAATAGCCTACCTTAGCGTCCTACTTATGAGGAGTGAAATGCATGGACCCCAAAAATATATAAATTACTGATATTTTACTATTGCACCTGTGGCAACAATGCCGAAATCAGATTGTAATCCTGAAGAAACTTTGTAGGGATCATATACGCAATATTTCAACATCCTAAACCAAGAAAATTCACATATGTTGTTATGTGGAATAAAGTAAACTACGTTGATAACAAACTGGCAGATAAAATGAATAGGTTTTTTGGTCCCAGCCACTTGCTGTATATATGCTATATATATATATATTTTTATAATGAGGTATGGTAGTAACGAACGAAAATAAGTGGTCCCTTTGAGTTCGTTATAACCGTAGTTTAATGTAGTTTTAGTGTAAATATATTTGCAGTATTAATCAGTGGCAGCAAAACATTAAACTAATAGAAAAAAATATCAATTCTGTTGGATTTGAGCCACTTGAAGCAAGTGGGGCTATCCAGAAGGGCTATCCAGAAGGACTTCATAAGGTTATCTGCCCCTTGTAAGCCTGAAACTGTGTGTCTAAATTTAACGTTTGGATTATCCATTGATCTTGTGTGGTCATTTATGGATTTCACAATTTAGTTTTCTGCAAACCAGTTCCTGGGCAAAGCTCTGCTTTTCAATTTTCAAATCCCTTCAAAACAGTGGAAAAATGTGTATCTGGATTTTCACGGGTATGTGTAGGTCAAAGACTTTCAATAAATGAAAAACTCAAATGTATAAAATATTTCAAACAGTAGAATATCACATACATGGTATGTTACCATGGTTACAGAGAGGCATATCATATACCTGGTATGTTACAGTCTGGGTAGGAGAGGTTGATGAGAGTCAGATCGTTGTCACGGCTCGTCTCCTGTGAACATCGACACTTCAAGGACAAGTTCGTCTTGATACCGAACAGCTCTGTCACCTTCGATACTTCCTCTTTCCTGCCAACGCAATGAAGTGAGTGAGTTAGTTGGGTTTGAACAGTATTCCAGTTACATTACAGTGTGTCAGCTTGATGTGGGAGGAAAGCCTGAAGTGATGCAGTTCTTAGACATTTACCACTTTGGTGAAACCCACAAGAACGGGTATGGTGCTGGGAAACAAAGAAACCTAATCAGGATGGATTGGAACACTATTAAGGCTAAATCACAGCATGTTGGCTTAACATGGGAGGAGAACCAATCATGAACATTTTGCTGACCCACTGCCTCTGGTATGACTCTGACCTGAGATCAAGCAGGCTTAATCTGAAGAGACAGTATGTGCCACCATACACCCGATACATGGCATTATATTGTAACCTCTCTATATGGGAACACTTGTGCAACTGTACGACTAAATAACCAGAGCTACCTATCAATGCTGTGTTTCTGCAAAAGTGAATGAGTTGGGGTCTAACATTTCTAACAATATTCCAATTATATCTTGGTGTGTCCAGTGCGTGTGTGGTGTTTAACGCCACACTCAGGAATTTTTCAGATATATGACAGCAGTCAGTAAATAATTGATTCTGGACCAGACAATCCAGTGACGGATATTGTGAGTAATGATCCACACCATCGGGGTATGAAGACACGCAATCAACCAAGTTACCAAGTCTGACCACATGATCCATTTGGTTGCCTCTTATGAGTGAGTGAGTGAGTGAGTGAGTGAGTGAGTGAGTGAGTGAGTGAGTGAGTGAGTGAGTGAGTGAGTGAGTGAGTGAGTGAGTGAGTGAGTGAGTGAGTGAGTGAGTTGTGTTTAACGCCGCTTTTAACAGTATTACAGTCATATCACGGCGTGTCAGCTTAATGTGGGAGGAAATCCTGAAGTGATGCAGGTCTCAGTCGTTTACCACTTCAGTGAAACCCACGAGCACGGGTATGGTGCTGACAAACCGAGAAACATAATCGGGGCGAACTGGGATTCGAACCCACAATCATAGGTTTCTGGCATGCCCAAGGGACGCAACTCTGCACAGCGAATTGCGACACCTTAGACGACTGGGCCACCCGTGCCCCTTGCTTCTTACGACCACCACATTTTGCTGGGGACCAATTCCAACCCGAAATCCCCATGGGTATATGACCATCACAGGTAGCTGGGGACCAATTCCAACCCAGCATCTCCAAGGTGACAGGGGGCGTTAAGTGGGAAGACAGCCAAAAAAAGGAGCTATGGTGCTGGCAGACAGTTTATTATGTGCCAATTTTCATTCACCAAGAGAATGCTCATGGCAAGACATTATTACTGGTGAAAATAGCCATGTCAGGCAGTATGACTAGGTATTTGTTTGTTTGTTTGTTGTTAACGTCGCACTCAGCAATATTCCAGCTATATGAAGGCGGTCTGTAAATAATCAAGTCTGGACCAGACAATCTAGTGATTGACATCATGAGCATCTATCCACGCAATTGGGATTTGATGACATGCATCAACCAAGTCAGTGAGCCTGGCCACCCGATCCCGTTAGTCGCCTCTTACGACAAGCATAGTTGCCTTTTACGGCAAGCATGGGTTGCTGAAGACCTATTCTACCCCGGATCTTCAGGGGTTGTATGACTAGGGAAAGTACATTGATATATCATACAATTAGGAAATGCTATTAATATATTGTATATTGTATTTGGTTTAATGCCGCTTTTAACAGTATTACAGTCATATTGCAGCAGGTTCGCTTAATGTGGGAGGAAAGCCTGTAGTGATGCAGGTTTCAGACGTTTACCACTTCAGTGAAATCCACGAGCACGGGTATGGTGCTGACAAACCTAGAAACATAATCGGGGCAAACCAGGATTCGAACCCACAATCATAGGTTCCTGGCGTGCCCAAGGGACGCAACTCTGCACAGGGAATCGCGGCACCTTAGACGACTGGGCCACCTGTACCCCCACATATATTGTGACAAAAGAAGAGAATACATGAAAAAAATATACAAAATGTGGAAACTAAGAGAATATATTGATCCAAATAAGAGAATTAAGTTAATATATTGTACCAGATGATGAGTGAAAATATGTTCCTGATAGAAGAGAATAAGGGAATGACACGGGCAGGTAGAATATATATGATAGATGTTAGCACATACTGACTTACAGTGATTCTCTGTTCAGTAATAAAGGTAGGAGTATGGTTTTTTTCACAGTTAAATCATACACATCATTAATACCATTGTCATATCAATATTACTAATTGGGGTGTTACGATACAGTGAGGTCGCGATACGATACATATCCCGATACTATGGATGCGATGTGATTCGTATCCCGATACAGCACTTCTATTTCATTAGTTGATGTTTCTTTTTGCAGCTGAATCACAGCCCTGAATAATTCGGTCTTAAATTTCAGAGATCAAAGATGCAATAGGGAAGAGACATATAGGCTAGAGAGTACTCAATCTCATAAAATCAGATCTTAGATCTTACTATTGCTAAACAAAGATTTGAGGACATCACATTACAGGTCACGTCAGAACGACCTTTCATCCGACCAATCAAAGCGCCTCTTACCAAATCATGAAAGTGACAGTCTGCATGTGTTTTCGAATCATGCAAACTCGAAAACGTTAACACGGGGTATTCCAAACGACAGTTACAGCCCATACGACTGATTCCGTCAAAATCATCGTCTATCTCTCGCTTCTATTGTAGAAATATTTGAACGGAAGAGGCGTTGCACAGTACGTAGGAAGCACTGCCATACGATGTGAACCATGTATGAGACATTCTGGAATGTTCGTTTGTTCAGTTTTCAAAATTTTAATTGAGAACTGTGTTAACATATTTTTCAAGCATAGTCTGAAATGGAAGTCGCAAGGTTGAAACGAGTGCCGTAAAGTCGAGAAAGCTGCTTTCTAATTGGCTGATGTTGACTTCTTGTTAGTCATTTCAGTGGTCGGTCAAGTTCACGAAAGGTTGTTCTGACCCATAATTGGATGTCCTCAGATCTTGGTTTAGAGGCAGTGATTTTAATGAGATTGGAGAGTACTGTGAATGTTAGCTATTAATAGCTAATCGGGAAATACAAAATATGGTGCTGGTTTTTTAACAGTTTGTTATTACTCACATTATTAACTGGTAATATAATGTATCATATGTATCCCGATACCATGATAGAGGGGTTGTACATCCTTGATTGTATTGTTGGCCTCGTATCGGGGTACAGTACTGTATTGCTCAGAGCTACAGATAAGCAGCATATTTGCGTAAAATAGCCCCCCAAAATATTCAAAACCCAATTACTTGCGTACAGAAACGCATGCATTAAATGAAAAACTCAAATGTATAAAAACAGCACGTGTAAATATCCAATGAAGCTTTTTCAGCATGCGTACAAAGGAGCTAATTTCCAAAACACAATTACGAGCTAATTTACTTTACGAGTCAAGCCCATATTTAGAACCGTTATATGCATCTAAAACATTATTTCATTTTTTAAAATCTTAAAATGTTCACTAATTTTGGGAAAAATAAAGTGATGAATGGATGAGTGAAAAATGAAAAATGTAATAACTCAATAATAATAGAAACCCTAGAGTAAAAACTCATTTGCTCAAAAAGTTATCTGGAGCTCTGATTGCTGTATCGTTACACCAGTGTAAACTAATCAACGAGACTCGGAGTGAACTCACAGAGTGTCACAGTTCCTCTCTGACCTATAAGCTTCATGCTTGTTTGTTGTTTTAAGCCACACCAGCAATATTCCATCTTATGATGATGGCCTGTAAATAATCAAGCTTGGACCAGATAAACCAGTGATTGACATTATCAGCAATGTCCTTACTTGATCCATTAAGTCGTCTCTCACAACAAGCACAGGTTGATGGGGAACAATTCTACCCTGGAATCCCCTCACAAGTAATATGTAGACAAAGAGGACAATGACAGTGGTGCATATCCTAGACATGAGGGTGATATGTTAGTGAAGGAAAGGACCTGGTTAATGACAGGATAGTTATGGGTGAAAGCAAGCCTAAGCGACACAGTCTTGACACATTTAACTGTGGAACCATTGACGACGGGGACATACATGCCCCCATGCACAGTGAGTGAGTGAGTGAGTATGGTTTTAAGCCGCTTTTAGCAATATTCCAGCAATATCACGGCGGGGGACACCAGAAATGGGCTTCACACATTGTACCCATGTCGGGAATCGAACCCGGGTCTTCGGTGCGAACCCCCATGCACAGAGCCCAAGAAAAGATGACAACAATGAGGATGCATATGACAGAGTGACTCACCCACAACACAAACAACAATTTGTCTAACTAATCTGCCAGAGATGTCAGAAGCAGCATTGATGACCTAATGAGCCAGTGATGACAGCAACAACATTGATGACCTAATGTGCCAGTGATGACAGCAACAACATTGATGACCTAATGAGCCAGTGATGACAGCAACAACATTGATGACCTAATGAGCCAGTGATGACAGCAACAACATTGATGACCTAATGAGCCAGTGATGACAGCAACAACATTGATGACCTAAATAGCCAGTGATGACAGCAACAACATTGATGACCTAATGAGTCAGTGATATCAGCAACAACATTGATGACCTAATGAGTCAGTGATATCAGCAACAACATTGATGACCTAATGAGCCAGTGATGACAGCAACAACATTGATGACCTAATGAGCCAGTGATGACAGCAACAACATTGATGACCTAAATAGCCAGTGATAACAGCAACAACATTGATGACCTAATGAGTCAGTGATATCAGCAACAACATTGATGACCTAATGAGTCAGTGATATCAGCAACAACATTGATGACCTAATGAGTCAGTGATGACAGCAACATTGATTTTGCAATTGATAACAAAAATGATGATGTGCAAGCCACACTGCTTGTATCTGTTCTTGTGATGGTAAAACGACATGCCCGTGACCTGCTAGAGATGTTACACCGCAACCCTGACCTACTAGAGATGTTACACCGTCACCCTGACCTGCTTGAGATGTTACACCGCCACCCTGACCTGCTTGAGATGGTACACTGACACCTTGACCTGCTAGTGATGTTACACTGCCATCTTGACCTGCTCGAGATGTTACACCGCCACCCTGACCTGCTAGAGATGTTACACCCCCACCCTGACCTGCTCGAGATGTTACACCGCCACCCTGACCTGCTAGAGATGTTACACCGACACCCTGACCTGCTAGAGATGTTACACCCCCACCCTGACCTGCTAGAGATGTTACACCGTCACCCTGACCAGCTAGAGATGTTACACCGTCACCCTGACCTGCTAGAGATGTTACACCGTCACCCTGACCTGCTAGAGATGTTACACCGTCACCCTGACCTGCTAGAGATGTTACACCCCCACCCTGACCTGCTAGAGATGTTACACCGTCACCCTGACCAGCTAGAGATGTTACACCGTCACCCTGACCTGCTAGAGATGTTACACCGTCACCCTGACCTGCTAGAGATGTTACACCGTCACCCTGACCTGCTAGAGATGTTACACCCCCACCCTGACCTGCTAGAGATGTTACACCGTCACCCTGACCAGCTAGAGATGTTACACCGTCACCCTGACCTGCTAGTGATGTTACACCGTCACCCTGACCTGCTAGTGATGTTACACCGTCACCCTGACCTGCTAGAGATGTTACACCGTCACCCTGACCTGCTAGAGATGTTACACCAACACCCTGACCTGCTAGAGATGTTACACCGTCACCCTGACCTGCTAGAGATGTTACACCGCCACCCTGACCTGCTAGAGATGTTACACCCCCACCCTGACCTGCTAGAGATGTTACACCGTCACCCTGACCTGCTAGAGATGTTACACCGTCACCCTGACCTGCTAGAGATGTTACACCAACACCCTGACCTGCTAGAGATGTTACACCAACACCCTGACCTGCTAGAGATGTTACACCGCCACCCTGACCTGCTCGAGATGTTACACCAACACCCTGACCTGCTAGAGATGTTACACCCCCACCCTGACCTGCTAGAGATGTTACACCGTCACCCTGACCTGCTAGAGATGTTACACCGACACCCTGACCTGCTAGAGATGTTACACCGTCACCCTGACCTGCTAGAGATGTTACACCGTCACCCTGACCTGCTGGTGATGTTACACCGGCACCCTGACCTGCTAGAGATGTTACACCGTCACCCTGACCTGCTGGTGATGTTACACCGGCACCCTGACCTGCTTGAGATGGTACACTGACACCTTGACCTGCTAGTGATGTTACACCGCAATCTTGACCTGCTCGAGATGTTACACCGCCACCCTGACCTGCTCGAGATGTTACACCGCCACCCTGACCTGCTTGAGATGTTAGTGAGCACATGACAGAACTAGTTACCTGGCTGGCTCTTCTGAGACGTCCTCAGAAGCCTTCACGCTGAGCAACACAAGATAATGGGAAACAAGGATGAATAAAAAGCAAATGATTTGTGATATGATAGAAACAAGTCAACCTTAGTTCTTAGTTTCTGTACATGCTGCATACTTGTTCAGGGAACACGTAACATTGGATTATTTGTTCTGCCAACAATGTAACGTTCAACTTGTGGCCAATTCAACTATAAGAAACCAGGTAAGCCAAATGTAGACAATGATTCTACTTTTGTCTAATATGTTATTTCTTACAGACCATCACACATTATTCAATGGCTAATGGGTCAACATGGTCAAATATACTCCAAACAGGTTTGAGTAGAACAGTTTTGAACATGACTTGTTTTTATCATTATGGAACTGTACATGTTAAAATGAATTGAAAACATTCATTAATACTTCTTGGACAAACATGGTAAGCTAAGGCTTAGCACTAGCACAGTGCATTAATCAAACACATCAAATACTGCTGATGCATTGTTAAAAACAACTCTAATAATGCAAAAAAACATTCACAGCATAACAGTGACATGAGCAATGAACAGTCTGCTGTGAGATGAGGATGACATGGTGGATGATCGCCTTAACTCTTGTTACGATGCTCACCATATACAATGAACTTATATTTAAAACGTCCTATGTTTTTCCCAAACTTCATCACACCAAAAGACGTTGAAAGATGGTTCTTGTTGTTACCCTGTCTGGTGTTCAGCATTAAGGGGTTGGAACAAGGACTCATCGGCTCGGAGTCAGTATACTGTGTTTGAGAGGGGTACTCATGTTAAACTGTGGCATTGTATCTCAGTGGGCTAGCACCGCAAGAACAGCATTAAAGTACTCATGGAAATGAAAAAACCCTGTTTTTCTCAATTTAAAAATCGACACAAAGTGTTACGTAGCTGTAAATAGGAAATAACAAAACAACTCGAAAAGTACTAGTCTGGATTTGCTAGTTTGATCTCAGTGAACAATACAAAATGTACTTTACGGGAGGTAATTTGTCGGCACTTTCAACATTCAAAAATAAAACTAAGTCCAAATTGACATAGCAGAAACAGACTATAGGCATTATGCACCTGTTCTCACCTGTCGTCAAGGTGTCATAGGTCACTTTGATCTACTTACACCTGGTTATGCCCTGTTTCACAATAGTCTGTTTTATTCACATTTTTACACACTTTTACGTGTAAAAAGGCATAAAAACATTTGATACGCTGTATTTGTGCCACGGCCCAATTAGTACTAATTTAGTTGTTTGAATATTTACATATTTTGTATATTAACTGCATTTATTTAAGATCTGAGGTCGAAAAAACAGTTTTTTTTTCATTTCCGTGAGTACTTTAGTCCAGACTTGTAAAAGAGCACACAGGCAGGCACACACATTTTTGGTGCTTGTGATTATTATCACTGTATAATCAGTTCTGATTGCCACTAGGAGTTATGCATACGTTTTCCAAATAGAAAATCTAATTTGCATGGTACCAGATCAACAATTTACAACGTAGATGGAGAATAATTTATTTATCACCTACGTTAACTGAGAATCAACCTACTTGTCTTCGCCATTGCTATCTCCCGCCTCTGCTTCATCTTTAGATTCCTCCTTCTTCTTCCCTTTCTTCTTCTTCTTCTTGGACTTGCTGGGAGTCTGCTCCTTCTTCTCCGTAGTGGCCGCCTCTGTGGACGTCTCGGCAGGGGCAGCAGCGCCCGACTTGGTGTCTGACTCCAGCTTGACGGCAGTCTCCTGTGTGCATAGGGCGGCAGTGAGCAGGGTTCAAGTACTGAACTTGGTTGTATCAGATTATAGACATTATCCCAACCCTGCATATATATCTGCCTACTCCCCCACTTCCTGAAACCACAGACTTGGCCCTGACTGTGTGGCCATTTCTACAAACAGGCTACTACCCCACTACCTGACAACACAGACTTGGCTCTGACCAAGTGGCCACTTCAACCACCAGGACCAAGTGGAAACTTCAACCACCAGGCTACTACCCCACTACCTGACAACACAGACTTGGCACTGACCAAGTGGACACTTCAACCACAAGGCTACTACCCCACTACCTGACAACACAGACTTGGCATTGATCAAGTGGACACTTCTACCACCAGGCTACTACCCCACAACACAGACTTGGCACTGATCAAGTGGACACTTCAACCACCAGGCTACTACTCCACTACCTGACAACACAAACTTGGCACTGATCAAGAGGACACTTCAACCACCAGGCTGCTACCCCACTACCTGACAACACGGACTTGGCACTGACCGAGTGGACACTTCAACCACCAGGCTGCTACCCCACTACCTGACAACACAGACTTGGTACTGACCGAGTGGACACTTCAACCACCAGGCTGCTACCCCACTACCTGACAACACAGACTTGGCATTGATCAAGTGGACACTTCTACCACCAGGCTACTACCCCACAACACAGACTTGGCACTGATCAAGTGGACACTTCAACCACCAGGCTGCTACCCCACTACCTGACAACACAGACTTGGTACTGATCAAGAGGACACTTCAACCACCAGGCTGCTACCCCACTACCTGACAACACAGACTTGGTACTGACCGAGAGGACACTTCAACCACCAGGCTGCTACCCCACTACCTGACAACACAGACTTGGCACTGATCAAGTGGACACTTCAACCACCAGGCTGCTACCCCACTACCTGACAACACAGACTTGGTACTGATCAAGAGGACACTTCAACCACCAGGCTACTACCCCACAACACAGACTTGGCACTGATCAAGAGGACACTTCAACCACCAGGCTACTACCCCACTACCTGACAACACAGACTTGGCACTGACCAAGTGGACACTTCAACCACAAGGCTACTACCCCACTACCTGACAACACCGACTTAGCACTGATCAAGAGGACACTTCAACCACCAGGCTACTACCCCACTACCTGACAACACAGACTTGGCACTGACCAAGTGGACACTTCAACCACCAGGCTACTACTCCACTACCTGACAACACAGACTTAGCACTGATCAAGTGGACACTTCAACCACCAGGCTACTACCCCACTACCTGACAACACAGACTTGGCACTGACCAAGTGGACACTTCAACCACCAGGCTGCTACTCCACTACCTGACAACACAGACTTGGCACTGACCAAGTGGACACTTCAACCACCAGGCTACTACCCCACAACACAGACTTGGTACTGACCGAGTGGACACTTCAACCACCAGGCTACTACCCCACTACCTGACAACACAGACTTGGCACTGACCAAGTGGACACTTCAACCACCAGGCTACTACCCCACTACCTGACAACACAGACTTGGCACTGACCAAGTGGACACTTCAACCACCAGGCTACTACCCCACTACCTGACAACACAGACTTGGTACTGACCGAGTGGACACTTCAACCACCAGGCTACTACCCAACTACCTGACAACACAGACTTGGCACTGACCGAGTTGACACTTCAACCACCAGGCTACTACCCCACAACACAGACTTGGTACTGACCGAGTGGACACTTCAACCACCAGGCTACTACCCCACTACCTGACAAACCCAGACTTGGCACTGACCTAGTGGACACTTCAACCACCAGGCTACTACCCAACTACCTGACAACACAGACTTGGCACTGACCGAGTTGACACTTCAACCACCAGGCTACTACCCCACAACACAGACTTGGTACTGACCGAGTGGACACTTCAACCACCAGGCTACTACCCCACTACCTGACAAACCCAGACTTGGCACTGACCTAGTGGACACTTCAACCACCAGGCTACTACCCCACTACCTGACAACACAGACTTGGCACTGACCGAGAGGACACTTCAACCACCAGGCTACTACCCCACTACCTGACAACACAGACTTGGAACTGATCAAGTGGACACTTCAACCACCAGGCTACTACCCCACTACCTGACAACACAGACTTAGCACTGACCAAGTGGACACTTCAACCACCAGGCTGCTACCCCACTACCTGACAACACAGACTTGGTACTGACCGAGAGGACACTTCAACCACCAGGCTGCTACTCCACTACCTGACAACACAGACTTAGCACTGATCAAGTGGACACTTCAACCACCAGGCTGCTACCCCACTACCTGACAACACAGACTTGGTACTGACCGAGAGGACACTTCAACCACCAGGCTGCTACTCCACTACCTGACAACACAGACTTGGCATTGATCAAGTGGACACTTCAACCACCAGGCTACTACCCCACAACACAGACTTGGCACTGATCAAGAGGACACTTCAACCACCAGGCTACTACCCCACTACCTGACAACACAGACTTGGCACTGACCAAGTGGACACTTCAACCACCAGGCTACTACCCAACTACCTGACAACACAGACTTAGCACTGATCGAGAGGACACTTCAACCACCAGGCTACTACCCCACTACCTGACAACACAGACTTGGCACTGACCGAGAGGACACTTCAACCACCAGGCTACTACCCCACTAACTGATACACAGACTTGGCACTGACCAAGTGGACACTTCAACCACCAGGCTACTACCCAACTACCTGACAACACAGGCTTAGCACTGACCGAGAGGACACTTCAACCACCAGGGTACTACCCCACTACCTGATACACAGACTTGGCACTGACCGAGTGGACACTTCAACCACCAGGCTACTACCCCACTACCTGACAACACAGACTTGGTACTGACCGAGAGGACACTTCAACCACCATGCTACTACCCCACTACCTGACAACACAGACTTGGCACTGACCGAGTGGACACTTCAACCACCAGGCTACTACCCCACTAGCTGACAACACAGACTTGGCACTGATCGAGTGGACACTTCAACCACCAGGCTACTACCCCACTTCCTGACAACACAGACTTGGTACTGACCGAGTGGACCTGCTGTAGCACGAATCTCTGCCAGCTCTGGATCAGTCGCGGGAGATTCACCTTCCCAGCAGCCTCCTCTGCCTCGCTGAGACACAGACCTAGAGCCGAAGCTTCCGGAATGGTGCGGAATGCTCGCAGGAAGTTACTTGCCTGTAACAGAGAGAGTAAACATAATTGTAAATGCATCCTACACTGATAGTCAAAAGATGGCCAACGTGAAGACAAGCAGACAGTTCCCACCTGACAAGTCTGGCCCTTCTGTGTGTCCAGCATGTGGTAGAGGAAGCCGAGCTCACAGGACAGACAGAACTCTCTGTGGCAGAGATGACTGAGGAGGTGACATCGCAGGGGCTCAAGGAAGTACAGAACCTACAGGAAGGGAAGGAGAGTGAGAGAGTCAGTAGGACGTCATGGCATTACCGCTATACCACAAATTCAAACAATGGACATTGCAATATTTTAAAGTTTTGTTATTATCTACATTGTTAACCTAAAACCTACACAGTAATTCATTCACAATGCTGTTTTCCCTCGAAACTGATTGATAAAAAAACGGCAGAAACTCGGCAGTGAATTTTCTCACACGTTGTTATCTCCCCTGTATCCATGACTACAAAGCAGCGGCAACCGACCATACTCAGTAATACTTTACATTTAGTATGCAGAAAATGAAATCAATACAATTCTTATGCCAATACACAGCCTAATGAGTGAGCGATTTAAGTTACAAAACCTACTGAAAGCATGCTTAATTTGAAGAGAAATCTTAAAGTCAAGGGAAAAGGTTGAAGTCATTTATCCCTATGATGAGTGAGTTAATTTTTACTGCATAAGCATTGTTTCATCCAATTGATGACAGCTGTGAGCTTATCAGTCAAAATCAGCATGATCCCAACTTTGAACCCCTGACCAGGGGCTCCGAGCTTCCACAACTAAGCTCCTCGTTTGCTTGTTTGTTGTTAAACTCCGCACGCAGCAATGTTGCAGCTGTATTATACCAGCCTGTCAATACGTCTGGACCAGACAATCCAGTTATTTATATTGTGAACCATCCACCCCAACAGGGTAGGACAGCACACTGTCAACCCAGCCACTGAACCTGAACATCTGATGATCATACAACCTGAAAAACTTTGTTACAAATTTATCCATTTGACTTTGAAAATAACTTTGTGTGACAACACAGCTCCTTCGTTTTGCCTCACATCAGTGAGTGAGTGAGTGAGTTGGGTTTTACGCCGCTTTTAACAATATTCCAGTTATATCGCGGCGTGTCAGCTTAATGTGGGAGGAAAGCCCCAAGTGATGCAGGTCTCAGACGTTTACCACTTCAGTGAAACCCACGAGCACGGGTATGGTGCTGACAAACCTAGAAACATAATCGGGGCGAACCGGGATTCGAACCCACAATCATAGGTTTCTGGCGTGCCCAAGGGACGCAACTCTGCACAGCGAATCGCGGCGCCTTAGACGACTGGGCCACCCGTGCCCCCGCCTCATATCAGAATTCCAAAGTGCAAACAGTGCGAATAACTACATGGTGTGGAGGTGAAACCAAAGGCTTTGCACTGAAACTGATTATATCAATAAGACTGTATGAAAGGGCGGCACCCCAGCCTGACCTCACCTGCAACATGGCGTTACAGTAGGCATTAGGAATATGGGTTTCCAGACCAGCAAAGTGAGTTTTGTTGTAATGTCGGAAGTCAAAGTCTTCCAAACCAAGCTTAGAATACTTCATCTCGACTCGTCTGTATTTCTTTGGTACAGTGACAAACGGATCTTCACCTGAAAAAAAAGATAGTCTTGATTGTCATCTGAACATATTTGATGAAACAAAGAAATATTTATATATTTTGTTATTTATAATTCTTCTTTTCAGTTCCTACCAGTGTACATCCAGAGATTCATATTGTGTCAGCTTAATGTGGGAGGAAAACCCAAAGTGATGCAGGTCTCAGATGTTTACCACTTCGTGAAACCAACGAGCATGGGTATGGTGCTGACAAACCTAGAAACATAATCGTGGCGAACCGGGATTCGAACCCACAATCATAGGTTTCTGAGCAACGATCCATGCTGTCAGGGCACATCAACGACCTTGACCTAGTTATCCATCTGATTCATTTGGTTCTCTCTTACGAGTCGCATGTATTGCTGGGGTTCAATTCTAACCAAGAATCCCCAAGGAGTGTTAAGGTATGAATGGAATATAACGGAATGGACATAGAATATTCTCATAATCAAGGATTGGAACGAATTGATCAGTCACTAACCTCTCCCCAGAGGGGATTCTGGGACACTTGACTTGCGAGTGTGAGTTGTTCCTCCAGTTGTCTGCATGTGCACTTCTTTCGGCAGCTTGTAGGGTATCTGGTTCCTGCGTTCCTTTCCAGAATTGGGAGCATAGCCAACGTTGTGATAGACTTTCATGGTACGAAGGATCTCGGGGTCGATAGGCTTAGGCTTCCTGAAAGTTGATGTGACATTCTTTACACACTAGCCTTGCATGGGTAGAGAAACAATGTTACAAAACTGGCTGAACATATTCTGAAGAGAGGTGTTAAAAGATTTTATTTGTTTGTTTGTTGTTTAATGCTGCACAATATGCGAGCCATATGAGTGCACTTTGTAAATAATCAAGTCTGGACCACACAATCCAGTCATTGACATTATAAGCATCGATCTACACAGCTGGGATATGTTGACTGCATCAACGAAGTCAGCGACCACACATTCCTCCCATTTCCTGGTAGTTGCCTCTTATGACAAGCATGAGTTGCTGAAGACCAATCCTAACTTCAGTCTTCAAGGGTCAATCGTTCAATGAGACTGAAAATGTGTGTAAGAATACATCGGTTTGAGTTCAAACTCCACATACATTCATTTTGTGTTCTTACACCTGTCCAAGCTGTTTTCCTGGTTTAGATAAGCCTCATGCAGGTTCTGGGAAAAGTAAGAATTCTGTTTTAAATATTGTCTGTTGAAAGGATAAACTGGGGGATTTAAATGAAAATGTTGAGGCACTGAGAGGTGTGACCTACCGATACTTCCTGGCCGATAGGTTGGTCTGCCAATCAGACAGCAGCTGACCAGATGGGGGGTACACCATGGGGACCATGGATACCGGAGCTAGCTCGTCGTTGATGTGGATGCTCTGGACAGGCTCAACCTATATACATAGAAATTATACTGTTTGTTCGATGTTGCACTCAGCAATGTACAGCTATTAGACAGCTGCCTTTAGATAACGGAGTCTGAACCAGAGTATCCAGTGATTGATTTTATGAGCAATGATCCAGGCATTCAGAGTATGATGACAATCAACTAACTCATGAACCTTTACACTGCCTTCAAAGCAATGATGTGCAGCAATGCATTGGAACCACTTCCTCTGTACTAGTCATGTTACCAGTGACATACAAATCCCCTCCACAAAGCCATATTGTTAGTTATGTCTATAATAGCATGAATTGGGAAATGCCACAACCCATCTTAGTCAAAACCATATCTGTCACACCCATCTCTGTCACACCCATCTGTCACACCCATCTCTGTCACACCCCATCTCAGTCACACCCATCTGTCACACCCATCTCTGTCACAACCATCTCTGTAACACCCATCTCTGTCACAACCCATCTCTGTCACAACCCATCTCTGTCACAACCCATCTCTGTCACACCCATCTGTCACAACCCATCTTAGTCACAACCATCTCTGTCACACCCATCTGTTACAACTTTCTGTCACACCCATCTGTCACAACCCATCTCTGTCACACCCATCTCTGTCACAACCCATCTCTGTCACACCCATCTCTGTCACAACCCATCTCTGTCAAAACCATCTCTGTCACAACCCATCTCTGTCACAACCCATCTGTCACAACCATCTCTGACACACCCATCTGTTACAACCATCTCTGTCACACCCATCTCTGTCACAACCCATCTGTCACAACCATCTCTGTCACACCCATCTCTGTCACACCCATGTCTGTCACAACCCATCTGTCACAACCATCTCTGTCACACCCATCTCTGTCACACCCATCTCTGTCACAACCCATCTGTCACAACCATCTCTGTCACAACCCATCTCTGTCACAACCCATCTGTCACAACCATCTCTGTCACACCCATCTCTGTCACAACCCATCTGTCACAACCATCTCTGTCACAACCCATCTGTCACAACCATCTCTGTCACAACCCATCTCTGTAACAACCCATCTCTGTCACACCCATCTCTGTCACACCAATCTCTGTCACACCCATCTCTGTCACAACCCATCTCTGTCACACCCATCTCTGTCACACCCATCTCTGTCACAACCATATCTGTCACAACCCATCTCTGTCACAACCCATCTTAGTCACAACCATCTCTGTCAAAACCCATCTTAGTCACACCGATCTCTGTCACACCCATCTGTCACAACCATCTCTGTCACACCGATCTCTGTCAAAACCCATCTTAGTCACACCGATTTCTGTCACACCCATCTCTGTCACAACCATCTCTGTCACACCCATCTGTCACAACCATCTCTGTCACAACCCATCTCTGTCACAACCATCTCTGTCACACCGATCTCTGTCAAAACCCATCTTAGTCACACCGATCTCTGTCACACCCATCTGTCACAACCATCTTTGTCACAACCCATCTGTCACAACCCATCTCTGTCACACCCATCTCTGTCACACCCATCTCTGTCACACCCATCTGTCACAACCCATCTGTCACAACCATCTCTGTCACAACCCATTTCTGTCACAACCCATCTCTGTCACAACCCATCTCTGTCAAAACCATCTCTGTCACAACCATCTCTGTCACAACCCATCTCTGTCACAACCCATCTGTCACAACCCATCTGTCACAACCCATCTCTGTCACACCCATCTCTGTCACAACCCATCTCTGTCACAACCCATCTCTGTCACAACCCATCTGTCACAACCATCTCTGTCACAACCCATCTTAGTCACAACCATCTCTGTCACAACTCATCTCTGTCACAACCCATCTTAGTCACAACCATCTCTGTCACAACCCATCTCTGTCACAACCCATCTCTGTCACACCCATCTCTGTCACAACCCATCTCTGTCACACCCATCTCTGTCACACCCATCTCTGTCACAACCCATCTCTGTCACACCCATCTCTGTCACAACCCATCTCTGTCACACCCATCTCTGTCACAACCCATCTCTGTCACACCCATCTCTGTCACACCCATCTCTGTCACAACCCATCTCTGTCACAACCCATCTCTGTCACAACCCATCTCTGTCAAAACCATCTCTGTCACACCCATCTCTGTCACAACCATCTCTGTCACATTCATCTCTGTCACAACCCATCTCTGTCAAAACCATCTTTGTCACAACCCATCTTAGTCACAACCATCTCTGTCACAACCCATCTGTCACAACCCATCTCTGTCAAAACCATCTCTGTCACAACCCATCTGTCACAACCCATCTCTGTCAAAACCATCTCTGTCACAACCCATCTGTCACAACCCATCTGTCACAACCCATCTCTGTCAAAACCATCTCTGTCACACCCATCTCTGTCAAAACCATCTTTGTCACACCCATCTTTGTCACAACCCATCTCTGTCACACCCATCTCTATCACACCCATCTGTCACAACCCATCTCTGTCAAAACCATCTCTGTCACAACCCATCTGTCACAACCCATCTGTCACAACCCATCTCTGTCACAACCCATCTCTGTCACACCCATCTCTGTCAAAACCATCTTTGTCACACCCATCTTTGTCACAACCCATCTCTGTCACACCCATCTCTATCACACCCATCTGTCACAACCCATCTCTGTCAAAACCATCTCTGTCACACCCATCTTTGTCACAACCCATCTCTGTCAAAACCATCTCTGTCACACCCATCTCTATCACACCCATCTGTCACAACCCATCTCTGTCACAACCCATCTCTGTCACAACCCATCTGTCACAACCCATCTCTGTCACACCCATCTCTGTCACAACCCATCTCTGTCACAACCCATCTCTGTCACACCCATCTCTATCACACCCATCTGTCACAACCATCTGTCACAACCATCTCTGTCACACCCCATCTCTGTCACAACCATCTCTGTCAAAACCATCTTTGTCACAACCCATCTCTGTCACAACCCATCTCTGTCACACCCATCTGTCACAACCCATCTGTCACAACCCATCTCTGTCAAAACCATCTCTGTCACAACCCATCTCTGTCACACCCATCTCTGTCACAACCATCTGTCAAAACCATCTGTCAAAACCCATCTGTCACAACCCATCTCTGTAACAACTCATCTCTGTCACAACCATCTCTGTCACACCCATCTGTCACAACCATCTCTGTCACACCCATCTGTGTCAAAACCCATCTCTGCCACACCCATCTGTCACAACCATCTCTGTCACAACCCATCTCTGTCAAAACCCATCTCTGTCACAACCATCTGTCAAAACCCATCTGTCACAACCATCTGTCAAAACCCATCTGTCACAACCATCTCTGTCACACCCATCTGTCACAACCCATCTCTGTCACACCCATCTGTCACAACCCATCTCTGTCACACCAATCTGTCACAACCCATCTCTGTCACACCCATCTGTCACAACCCATCTCTGTCACACCAACCTGTCACAACCCATCTCTGTCACACCCATCTGTCACACCCATCTGTCACAACCCATCTTAGTCACAACCATCTCTGTCACAACCATCTGTCACAACCCATCTCTGTCACGCCCATCTGTCACAACCATCTGTCACACCCATCTGTCACAACCCATCTCTGTCACACCCATCTGTCACAACCCATCTCTGTCACAACCCATCTCTGTCACAACCATCTGTCACAACCATCTGTCACAACCCATCTGTCACAACCCATCTCTGTCACAACCATCTCTGTCACACCCATCTGTCACAACCCATCTGTCACAACCATCTGTCACAACCCATCTCTGTCACAACCATCTCTGTCACAACCATCTGTCACAACCATCTGTCACAACCCATCTGTCACAACCCATCTCTGTCACAACCATCTCTGTCACACCCATCTGTCACAACCCATCTGTCACAACCATCTGTCACAACCCATCTGTCACAACCATCTCTGTCACAACCCATCTCTGTCACAACCCATCTCTGTCACAACCCATCTCTGTCACAACCCATCTGTCACAACCCATCTCTGTCACAACCCATCTCTGTCACAACCCATCTGTCACAACCCATCTGTCACAACCATCTCTGTCACACCCATCTGTCACAACCCATCTCTGTCACACCCATCTGTCACACTCATCTGTCACAACCCATCTCTGTCACAACCATCTATCACAACCATCTGTCACAACCATCTGTCACAACCCATCTGTCACAACCCATCTCTGTCACACCCATCTGTCACACTCATCTGTCACAACCCATCTCTGTCACAACCCATCTGTCACAACCCACCTCTGTCACACCCATCTCTGTCACAACCCATCTCTGTCACAACCCATCTCTGTCACAACCCATCTCTGTCACACCCATCTGTCACAACCCATCGCTGTCACAACCCATCTGTCACAACCCATCTCTGTCACACCCATCTGTCACACCGATCTGTCACAACCTATCTGTCACACCCATCTGTCACAACCCATCTGTCACAACCATCTGTCACAACCCATCTCTGTCACACCCATCTGTCACACCGATCTGTCACAACCTATCTGTCACACCCATCTGTCACAACCCATCTGTCACAACCCATCTCTGTCACAACCCATCTCTGTCACAACCATCTGTCACACCCATCTGTCACAACCCATCTCTGTCACAACCATCTGTCACAACCCATCTCTGTCACACCCATCTGTCACACCGATCTGTCACAACCTATCTGTCACACCCATCTGTCACAACCCATCTGTCACAACCCATCTGTCACAACCATCTGTCACAACCCATCTGTCACAACCCATCTCTGTCACACCCATCTGTCACAACCCATCTCTGTCACACCCATCTGTCACACCGATCTGTCACAACCTATCTGTCACACCCATCTGTCACAACCCATCTGTCACAACCCATCTCTGTCACAACCCATCTCTGTCACAACCCATCTGTCACAACCATCTCTGTCACACCCATCTGTCACACCGATCTGTCACAACCTATCTGTCACACCCATCTGTCACAACCCATCTGTCACAACCCATCTCTGTCACAACCATCTCTGTCAAAACCATCTCTGTCACAACCCATCTCTGTCACAACCCATCTGTCACAACCCATCTCTGTCACAACCATCTCTGTCACAACCCATCTCTGTCAAAACCATCTCTGTCACAACCCATCTCTGTCACAACCCATCTGTCACACCCATCTGTCACAACCCATCTCTGTCACAACCATCTGTCGCAACCATCTGTGTCACAACCATCTGTGTCACAGCCATCATTCAAATTGGGAGTCTTTGCCTACATTTGCTGCCACTAGGGGCTGAATATTACATGCTTCATGAATTATTTTCCTGATATTCAGAACCATTCAGGAACTATACATGAATTTTCATGACTTCATGAATATGGTCACAAAGGGGTGGCCGCTGATAAACACATGAAACACATAACATCATTCATGAAATAGATGGACATTCAACTGAAACCATATCCAGACAAGGGAGATAATCCAATACTTACGGGATCAGGGAACTCTGTAGGCTGTGAGTAGGCGTTGAAGGTGGGGTGGTCCCTGTTTGTATACAGATGGATGTAGCCTGAAACAGTGGCAGTAAGCAAAGCAGATGAAGTCAGGGGTGCCACACAAATTCTAAGTATCAAAACAATCAGTCTCCTGAGTGAGTGAGTATGGTTTTACACCGTTCTTAGCAATATTCTACCAATATCACGGCGGGGGCACCAGAATGGACATTGTACCCATGTGGGGAATCGAACCCAGGTCTTCAGGGTGACGAGCGGATGCCTTAACCACTAGGCTACACGACCGTCCCATCAGTCCCTGAACTTTTAGCAAAATATTAAGCATGTTAAATGTAAGAAAGAAATTCCTTTGTGTCCGTGAGTTTTTAACCCTGCATTCAGCAATATTCCCAATATATGATAGTGGCTTATAATTAATTGAATCTGGAAACGGCAATCCAGTGAACAATATAATGAGCAAAAATCCATGCCGCCATGGTATGTTGACTCGCCATCAACCAAGTCACTGAGTCTGACCACCCATTCCATTAAGTTGCCACTTACGACCAGCATAGATTGCTAGGAATCAGTTCTAACTCGGAATCAGAACCGGCACCCAATTAAGACTCCTCTTACAATTACCACAGGTCCCCATGGAGATCCAAATCTCAACAAAGCGAAGTCAGTCTTACAACAATCGTAACCATGGTAATGCTGCACTTTGTAAAAAAGGGGTCTGACGTCCAATTTTAGTAAAATCTAAATATTTTTTACATTTGTACATACTTATCCTGCATTACTCCTTAAAGCATCCGCTACTTTCCATTAGGTAAGTAGTAAATGCATTAAGGAGTAATGCAGGATATTAAGCAAAATAATTAGTTAAATCTAAAAACATTTTACATGTGTATACTTTTCCTGTATAACACATAATGCAGGATAAGTAGGAAATAACATCCAAACAGAAGATGGCTGGCTGCTTTACCTGATGAGTCTCCAAAGGACAGGGCGTTGCATGAGGACGAGATGTCGAAGCTGGTGAGTACAGCGCCACCTGTGTTGACCTGGTAGAACATGCTGGAGTTGGACATGGTGTTGTTGGGGTCCACCAGCTGGAAGTGACCCACCTGGGACACCACAGCCAGCTTGTTGGAGTAGTTGGGGACGAAGCGGAGAAACGTGGGGTCGATTGACACCTGGATGGGTGCCACTGCTCGCATCACCCGCATGTCATACACCTTGAGGAACCGGTCAGCCTGGAGGTTACCCATCCTGTAATACAGACAAGACAGTTCTGAGTATTCTCAGACAAGAATCACACCTTCTTTTAGTCTTCAAAGAAATATCATTTCGCAAAACTTATTGTGATTAACGAACAATGATGAAGTTTAGAGAAAACTCTGTGTTAGTCTGTCTGCCTGACAAGAAAGTTCTGAGTATTCTCAGACAAGAATCACACCTTCTTTTAGTCTTCAAAGAAATATCATTTCGCAAAACTTATTGTGATTAACGAACAATGATGAAGTTTAGAGAAAACTCTGTGTTAGGCTGTCTGCCTGACAAGACAGTTCTGAGTATTCTCAGACAAGAATCACACCTTCTTTTAGTCTTCAAAGAAATATCATTTCGCAAAACTTATTGTGATTAACGAACAATGATGAAGTTTAGAGAAAACTCTGTGTTAGTCTGTCTGCCTGACAAGAAAGTTCTGAGTATTCTCAGACAAGAATCACACCTTCTTTTAGTCTTCAAAGAAATATCATTTCGCAAAACTTATTGTGATTAACGAACAATGATGAAGTTTGGAGAAAACTCTGTGTTAGTCTGTCTGCCTGACAAGAAAGTTCTGAGTATTCTCAGACAAGAATCACACCTTCTTTTAGTCTTCAAAGAAATATCATTTCGCAAAACTTATTGTGATTAACGAACAATGATGAAGTTTGGAGAAAACTCTGTGTTAGTTGTTTAATGCCACTCTCAGTGATATTCCAGCTACATGCCATCCCATCCCACAACCCATCTCTGTCACACCCATCTCTGTCACACCCATCTGTCACAACCATTTGTCACAACCATCTGTCACACCCATCTGTCATACCCATCTGTCGCACCCATCTCTGTCACAACCCATCTCATGCCTGTAAAATAGCAAGTCTGGACCACTTATTCCAGCGATTAATATGATCCACGTGGGAGATGATCCACGTCATTGAGGTTCAAGTACATGCTATCAACCAAATCACCAGTCTCACATCCCAATCCATTAAGTCGTCTCTTATGACCAGCATAGGATGTTAGGGAGCTATTCTAACTGGTAAATTCTCACTGGTGTGAGAAAAACTGTGCAACCACATGCAAAACGGAAGTGTTACTCCAGGACCATCTTCCTGAGGCAAGTGTGTCCACCAGCCCATATCAAAGCCCCTTTCTCCCATTGCCACACCATAACCAATCACTAGTTGTGCCCCTTGTAATGAAAACGTGATATCCAATCAAATCGCTGTTCTTATCTCATATAGCTTTACAAAGGTGGCGAAGACCTAGTCCACCATATAACGAAAACATTCGGAATTTCATCCCTGACACGAAAACATAGGCAATCATTTGGGGGGGGGGGGGGGGTTAAAAAGATGAAAAAGACATATTTGTTTCAACAAAGATAGACAGCGGTAAATCACTTTGATATAAACTGGTACCAGTCGTGGATGTTAAGGAAAGTGGGCCTGATGTGGCAAGGGTAGGAACAAGACTTTAATAAAAAGGCTAGTGGGTGCTCTTGCCTCTGGAAGATGCTTCAGGACTAGCAGAGGCTTAGTCACAGAAAGAGCCTATTTGGTCTTATTAACTGCAGTGTATGACTTGCATGGATGTTTTCTTGTGCCTACCTGTTAGAGAAGCCACAGGTGACAAGGAGGTGATCATGGAGATCGAAGTCTGACAGCGTGCCTGTGTGAGCTTCCAAAACATGCTCAGCCTTCATTGACTGGGGGTCATACAAGGTCACCTGCAACAAAAGGGTCAAAGTCATGTACAGTAAAGACTGACTATCACGTGTATCCACATTTCCTGCATATACCTTACCTGAGTCGAGTCTGACTAGTCACCTCCTGCTTGTGAGTGTGACTCTCCACTCCCCCAACACACAGACACAGACACAGACACAGACACACACACACACACACACACACACACACACACACACACACACACACACTCACCCGTCCACTGGTGTCCCCTGCACAGATGTACTTGCTGGAATGACGGAAGATAGCACATCCAGGCTCCTTCACTTCAAACTGAAAGAGCAACACTCATCAAATTAGTAATTACAAAACAAGTATTCTTTTCACGACACATTATTTGCAGAGGACGTATGTTTTTGAAAAACCTGAGACAATATTGTTTCAATCTGGAAGCTTGGTGACATCAGTGAGACTGCTTTGTCCCGATCGACAAGGTTTCTGTAAATTTGCAGGCAAACCACAAAAAAGAGACCTGTTAGAGTTGACCATTTCTGATGTGCTCATCTAAACACTGTTCCATTAATCTGCTTCACTCCCCACAAAGACAGCCTCTATGGTATAGTGGATAGATCATCTGCCCGCAGAGCATAGACATTACCAAAAGACATTAAACCTGTTGTTTCTCTGCCTGGCCCTCGGCATTAAGGGGAAAAAAGCAAGGACTGGTTGGCACAGAGTTAGATAACTGTGTGCAAATGCAGCATGGTATCTCATAACGTTAGAGTGAGTGAGTGAGTTGTGTTTAACGCCGCTTTTAACAGTATTACAGTTATATCACGGCGTGTCAGCTTAATGTGGGAGGAAAGCCCCAAGTGATGCAGGTCTCAGACGTTTACCACTTCGGTGAAACCCACGAGCACGGGTATGGTGCTGACAAACCTAGAAACATAATCGGGGCGAACCGGGATTCGAACCCACAATCCTAGGTTTCTGGCGTACCCAAGGGACGCAACTCTGCACAGCGAATCGCGGCGCCTTAGACGACTGGGCCACCCGTGCCCCCTCATAACGTTAGAACAAGGACATGTTGTTATACATGATATCAGTGCAATAACCTCAAACGCGACATTAAACACCACTTCATCTCACCTCGCCTTCAACATGTTCAAACAGTAAACACACAAGTTTATACAAATCTCAGTTACTGAAGATACATGTTCACCCTGTAACGTTACCTGGTTCACTTCTATGCCCTTGTTGAGGTCGACCTCAATGACCTTGGTCTGGTGTCCCCCCATGAGCACTGAGTGAGGGCCGGTTGCCATCATACACTGCATGTCCTGAAGATTCCCATCACCTCTGTTGAACAGAAGTCCAGACAAATTACCACAAAAGTTACATGACATTAGCAGGGTCTACTTTACACCCTATACAACCTAAAAAGTCGTCTGTCACAGCTTCTAACCTTTGAACATAAATGAGCCGTGAAATGCATTCACCCCGACCGCTGTTATTGTACTGGACATTTTCTCTACATCTGTAAGCACTGTTTTGCTTGTAATAATAAAATTATTTGACAAAGTTATCAAGGAAAAAGACACTGTCATACACAGTTGGTGACTCTCATAACTGCTTGATGAACATGTACTACCACATGAGAAGTACTGTCAAAATCTAGTAGCTCATTTACATTACTGTGAGTATTGTTATATATGTCATTGTTTCCGTCCATGCCGAAGTGAACCACCGTCATATAGCTTGAATATTGCTGAGTGTGGCGTAAATCAACAAACCAACCCTGCCGAAATGACAATATGCTCCAGGTCAAAATGTGTCACTTTAATAACGTGAGCAAGATCACTCACATTTTTCACAATAATTTCAAGATTAACAGTAGATTATTAACCCAAACTAGAGTGAGTGAGTTGGGCTTAACACCGCTTTTAACATTATTCCAGTTATATCGCAGCGTGACCCAAACTAGAGTTTCTATCTTAAAATTTAACTCCTACTATATATATATCTGTCTGTCTGAATGACAATCACATCCCTATCCTCCCCATTTTTGGCATGGCATTTTTCAAAATTCCAAATTATTATCCAAATGTAATTAAGCAACCCTAAAAGCTCTCCCCCAGGTTGCCTTAACTTTTTTGACAAATCTTTTTCGACCAATCCACTAATGGCCTGGCTGGCCTGTGCACGATATAAAACCCCACAACTCAGTCAGTCAGACAATCTCACATGAGTCAATATGGCCGACATTGAGTCTCCACACCCCTGCCAGCCCCGTGTTTGGGGGGGACAAAACAGGAACACACACTCATGTTCACAATCCCGGCAATGACTGGTCCCTCTCTGGACTTACATGTAGTTCATGATGGAGAAGCCCCGCCGAACTGACAGACGCATGCTGTTCTTGGTGAGAGACAGGATGCCATTCTCCAAGGTCAGAATCTGTCGGATGTCATTGGATGCGTGGACGTGGAATGAGGTGTATTTCTGCATGTCAGACCCATAGTAGGAGGTCACATGGCCCTGTAAACAGAAGTGGCAACAAATGACACGGGATAGTGAGTACAAGACTACAGGGGTGAAACAATACATCGGTGCACCGATGCAGCGTGGGTTTTCATTAGGGGTGACTATGGTCTGGAAATCTCTATTGCGATAACTATTGATATTGAAAGAAACCACTGCGGTAACTATTGCGATAAATATCTATAGTTTTCAGTGTATCATTTTAGATGGATTTTAGAGTTGAATTGAACCTTAGAACTGAAGTTTCCTTTGAATGTGATAACCATAACAACAAATAAAAAGTAAAGTTTGAGATATGACTGATTTGTTTTTTCTTTCCCTAATAATTTAAGAAATTTGTTTTTACCACATTACCATGTGTAAATTACTACCAGTCATGATCAAAAGAAAAACAAATTTGAACAGCATTGCATGTATTTTATTGATATGGTAAATACAATCAAAACTATCGATATTCCTAACTGAAAACAATACTATTGATTGGAAACTGATTTAACAATCGATTTATTGACTTTATGTGCTTACCAATAGCAATATATCGATATTTCGATTTATCGTGACACCCCTAGTTTACATGCGATGATACAAAACATGATACGTCTTTTTCTGTATTCATACAAGACGATACACTTTAATAACCCCCACTTAAGTGTTATTGTCAGTCAAATATTGCAAAATGTGTTGTGATTAGCTTTTCAAGTTCACTACTGAATATAGCCACTTTGAACATGTGTCTACCACTAGCTCTTCCTTTGGAACCTGCCCTGAAATATTAAAAGTCAAGAAGTTTCCATGTGATTTGATGTGAATATGCGTATCGTGATACATATCCTATCGTGACCTTGCTGCATCGTTTCTCCCTACTGAACTTACAATGACTGAATGTTGTTTTACGTCAGCAATTACAGGGATATCATGGTGGTTTGTCAAAAATCAAACTTAGGCCAGGTAAACCTGTCTTGACAGAGGAGAGCAGTATATAAACATGATAAACCATGATTTGAAATACAAATGACAATATTTGGAAATTTGGCGTTTTTTTCACATATCATGCATATTTTCATCTTATTGGCAACATTTACAAAAGTGACAAGTCGAATTGAAATTATGAAATTCAGAAATTAACAACTGATTCCTGTGATTGAAAAATTAATCATTATTCCAATAAACTGCAATTCGAAAGCCAGGCTAATACTCATACCTAGTGGTTGATAACATGATCAAGTCCAACATCACTGAGGTACAAGGACATATAGTGAGTCAAGTCTAAACACCTAACCATCACATCCCCACTTCAGTCAGCTGCTATGACAAGCAGGTGAGATACCACATGTATGAAGGACCTGGGCCCCGCTCCACAAAGTGATCGTAGCACTACAACTGTCATAAGCTAACGTAAAAGAATGGCAGTTAGCCAGTTACGTTAGTGCTAAGTCGTATTTGTGGAACGGGACCCTAACAGAATCTCCAAATGAACAAGTACGCTGTCAATGAACAATACATTACCAAAGAAGGGAGTTAAAGAATGGTGACAATTATTCATTTTATAATGCATTTAGTGATGATGTACAATATGTTAATCTAAAAACATAAAATCAGTTTTTCACTCAGAATGCTCAGCATGTTTGTGTGAAATAACTCATTTTATCAGACAAACTCTCGGTCTGCCTCAATGCTTTCAGAGTTAGAACATAAAACATTACGAAGATCATTAACATGACTGAGAAAATGTCATGAACTGTATAATGAGATAACTTCATTGTTTGACAAACAGCCCAAAAGCATCAGACTTTGTTACATTTGTTTGTTTTTTAACGTTGCACTTAGCAATTTTTCAGCTATATGACAGCAAACAAAAGGTCATTAACAAAAGCAAACTTACACTCTGTGTTCCTGCCCAAAGTAGTTCCTGTGTGTCAAAGGTCATACATGACACCCCATACGGACTTCCCCCGTCCATGAACACGCTGTGATGGTGAGTGTACTCGGACCTCTCTCCCCCAGGGTGGGGGTACATGTGTTCCATGTTGTCCTGGTAGCCTTCACCCCCCATCATGTTGGGGTTCATGGGAGGGGGTGGGATTATCTCCCCTTGTATTCCATCAGGCCGAGGGAATGTTGGGGGCATGCCAGGAAACTCCATTATTGATGCTGTCCACTTCCTTTAAATAAATCTGTGTATGATCCTAATACATCTGAAATAGTTATGACAACCAGCATTAGCATGATTAAGGCTGAGAAAATACACTGATACTCAGCAACAACCCCGTAATTGGAGTCCACCATCTTTTTAAAAAAAAAAACCAACAAAACATTTGTACCGTATTTGCTGTAATATGTGCCAAGGGTGCTTTATTGAAACTACACACAAGTTAAATTTGACTTCAGAGATAGAACAGTAGTGAACAAACTCAACAAAACGTCAACAAAACTAAAATGTGTTTGATAATACTTACAAGGCAATTATATACCTATTCTGACCTCTTTTTTTTTCACAAAAGTTTTAACATAAACAAAAAATACAGACTGTCATGTACATGTTCAGCCTCAGTAGGGGGCACACATTATGATTACTTAGAGATTGGTCTTGAAGTTGGTCAGGCACTACTTATATTATGCGTATTGGAAAAGGGTGCTTAATCATGTTAATATGGCGAATACGGTCTTGGTTTTCATTTTTAAGGTGGAATTCTTAATCAAAGTTCACTTTTGTTCACTTTTGATGACAATAAATCTTTGTCCACATTTTGAGGAGTGATAATGGAAAAGATTGTCTTTAAAAAAATTACACTATTGGAAGCCAATTTAAAATGTATAAGTGAAACACAATGCCTACAGTGCACACTGGGAGACATTTTTACAAACAGCTTGATCCATGTTCTCCATGATCCAAACAATCCATCTGACAATCATCTGACAAAAGGTCACTGCTATCAACCAGTTTGGGCTTATTTTTCCCAATTGGTTAATATAGGTTTGTTCTAATAGCATAATGAAAACATATTTAGCATTATGTTTTGTGACTGGAGAAAAACATGAACAATGGAAAAGCTAGCAAGTAGTTTTCAGGCAAGTACTTGCAGAAATATTAGGAGTGATGTTTGATAGTGATAAGCAGCGGGATCCAAGCGTGAAGGAGTTGGGAGTAACCGATTCCAACCCTATGGATTGAGTGAGTGAGTATGGTTTTACGCCGCTTTTAGCAATATTCCAGCAATATCATGGCGGGGAACACCAGAAATGGGCTTCACACATTGTACCCATGTCGGGAATCGAACCCGGGTCTTCGGCGTGACGAGCAAACGCTTTAACCACTAGGCTACCCCACCTATGGATTGAAGAGGCGCACAAGATCATGAAGTGTGATCCATCAAACTTAAATAGCACTATCTACAAATATAGTTGTGACCAGTCTTTCCCAAAATTGTTTGGAGAAAATATTTTACATAAGAAAAGGACATTAGCCTAACCAAGCTTCAAGAATGTTCAAGCTAGCAAGGCGAGTTTGACCAACCACTGCAGAGACTGTAGGTTACCCCAAACCTACTCCTAGCCCTTGGAGCCCTTGGAGCCCTTTGTGATCAAGCTAGGCTTTATGATCATAGGAGTTATATCCCTCTTTCTGGATTAGTTAAATAACCCCTTTTAGCAAATTAATCAAAAGTAATTTGATGAAAATATGTACAATTTTATCAAGTTTTGAATTTAACAGAAAAAAGGCTACTGTACATAAAGGCAAACAATCAGGTGCTGATCACTTGGTAAATGAGCACTAATTATCTGTGATAATGCCAATGGTCCTGTGGAAAAGTGTTGGCTCATTTGATCAATAAGCACAGCATTAATCAGGCAACATCAGTTCCATCCTCCACACAATGCAAATTAAAATCCGTAAATTTGTAGCCCTACTGTAGAAGTGCAGTAGCCTCTACTCTCCAAGTGGAGATCAGCCTGCAGATGGAGTCAATATTATAGCAGCATAAGCTGCACCCAACAAACTACACAGTTCCCCTTGCCACAAAGCGATCTAAGAGCTAAGCTGATTATAACTCAAATACTTACACATAGGCTTACGGTAGGCGTAGTGCTAAAATCGCGTTGTGGAGCGGAACCTTCAGTCTTGCCGGGAATTTCAACTGGCACTTTGCTGTTGATATGGGGCCGATAATTATTGCAAAGATCTCAAAGGAATGTGGACAATCGGAAAGACAGAGGCTCGTGGATCAATCTCAGTAATGGTGAATTCATTATATAGCCGTTAATGCTTAATCAAATACGACAAATATTGTGAGCAGATCTTTGATGAAGTTTTTAGCCAATGTTTCAAGAACTTCTCTATCTCAGGCGATCTAGGCCTAATTGGCGATTGTCAGACGTATTCATCGAGAAAAACTACGATCAAGGGCAAACCAACAACCTTAAACAATCACCATCAACTTTCGTTAGGTATCAGTGTTTTCGTAACCGTAGAAAATCGTATGAATCTTACCAATATTTGCATTTTGGGCATACAAACACAAACACGCTTCTGGATTACGTCCCTTTAACATCGGGTTGATCAAAAAGTAGAAGTGAAGACAATAATGTTAATATGCACTTCGGTTTAGTGTGCAGTCATTCCCATCACGCTAAATAATCCTTTCAAATTCCTTACAAATCATTATGATAACGTATTTCTATATAGTAATGTGTATTGTGAACGATGTTCAACTCATGATTCACATTCTTTTAACCTTCGTTTCGCTGTGATACATTTTCGTGTTACCCTATGTTATCATAACCTGATAATTTAAACAATACACGCTACATGTCTGAGCAAGAACAGTGAGATAGACAATATGTATAAATAATGCCAACGTTTGTTCCAATTAACTCGACATTAGAATCCCTTCCATTGTGTTCCTGCAAATCTTGTATTATTAGTGGTTTAACCAAGGGAGGTAACTCTGTCTAACCAGCTGCGAGCGAGAGAACAGCTGCCAGTCGCCTCTTTCCCTCATATTATTCAAGGTAAGAGTTCTTGGTTGCAGTAGTTATTTAGCATATCCCGCCATTTGTACACATGTTTGGGAAATAGCATACCATGAAGTTAAATAAATGACAACAATGGAATTCCTTTTGAAACTTGATCGCAGTAGTAGGCTACCTGTTGATCAAAGATCAGTATTCAGATTTGAAGCGAACATGACACGGACCACAGGAACTCGAAGATAGCGTGTATAGCATAATATATTCGTACAGAAAAAAATTCACACCCCTCTATCATATAGACAAGGGGTGACACCCGCCATCTTGGTTCTTATTCAAGATTTCGCACTCGGTTCGAATCACAGCTCGATATATAACATGAAATATGAATGTCACTTATTTCAACCTATTGGAACTTGCTAAACAAACCATAAGCTACACAATCATGTTTATCTGTGGTCACCTCACCTCGTATTTATTTTAAAACAACCATCAAATCTCAACCATAAGCTTCACTGTCGAGGTAAACAAGGAATTACAGCGCAACACGGGTTTGAACACTCTCCTACCTAGAGTTCCATGCTGTCGACAGCCAGCTAGCATAGTACCTCTGCCACAGGCCAGCGCCATGTGACGATTCGTCACATCTTTCACAGTCCATTCAAGATATTGCATATGCTTTTCATCCGTTTCATGTTTGACAAGTCTACACATTTTCATAAACAAATGTCAAAGAATGGTTAACTTTCATTGAGAAAGTATGCAAATACGTAAAAATCTACTTGCTTTTGCGTAGTTATCCTATGTTTACATTGGTTGTACGGCTCCACGTGCTGTCATCGAAGCCCAACGGAGAGCTAGCGACACGGTAACTTTGATGCATAAATATATATATTGTCATGCAACTCACTGTCGCAGTTGTAGTAGCATATCTATATACAGTTATGCAAAACAATATGTAAAGCGCCCCCAAATACTTGCATTGGTCCGTTCTATACTGATTTCTGAAAAAGCGTGTTTGTTTACAAACAAGAGAAAAGTCTGATCACGTGATATGCAAATTAGCCTGTGGCAGTGGTGTTATGCTGAGTCACCACTGCGACGGAGTGTGGGGTTTGAACTAACCTAACGTTTCTGATTGGTTAAAATGTGTATCATAATATCAGCACAGTGAGGGGAGGGAAATTCAAGACTTTCAATGATAATCTGCTTCAAAATGCTTAATTATGCTGTAGATTTCCTTGTCAACCCAAACGTTTTGCAAGCAGGCTTACCTTTGACGGTTTTGAATTTTCCCTCCCTTCACTGTGTGCTTATATTTATATCCACTATTATATATTTTAGCCAATCAGAAACGTTTGGCGAGTTCAAGCCCGTGTAGCGCCGTAATTTCCGGCCACCTTTTTCTTGTTTACCTCTGCGGCGAAGCTTATGGTTGAGATTTGATGGTTCTTTTAAAATAAATACGAGGTGAGGTGACCACAGATGAACACGATTCTATTTCCATAACAAAAACACCATGGCTTATGCCCCTTGCAATATGACGTCATTGGTGCCAATTGATAAACATTATGATGTCATCATGCTCTGTTAGAGCCGCTTCACGTGGTGTAGGTACAGGTGTGTGATCCTAGCGTCTCAGATGCCAGCCAGCATAGTGTTATGCTGAGTCACCACTGCGCAGGAGTGTGTCGTAGGCCATGTTGTTTTACCGCAAACTGGTACTTGATATCTTTTGCGTTGAGAATAGACAGGGACCCAGTTGAATTGGCACCAATTACGTCATAATCTAAGGGGTATAACTCAGGCCTGTTTAGCTCGAAAAACGAAGGCCTCATAACGGTAATCATTTTCACACTATTGTGAGCTTCCTACTTTCACTGAAAAAAATTGAGTGTATATTTTCAAACACAGATACTAACTAATTCTAAAATTGTGTTTTGTTTAGAAAAAGAAAGAAAGTGATTTTTGCATGTACACTTCCCCTTTAATCATAAGCATTTTCGGAAATATGTAAAATAAATGGCCTCCTACCTCTCGGGTCTTAAGAACATTGGATGGAAATCTAATTATTATTTTATCACGGAGCCTTATCATGATAGAGGGATGAAAATATACTCATTTGAAACATGAAGTCAAAATGTAACATGGATGTATGCTCATACTATTGACCTCTTGTTTGTCTGTTTCTCTGGCCCTGTTGTTATTTAATCTTTGCACAAAGATATGATCATGCTTTCATCTTGCTTATTTGGTCACATTGTACATGTAACATTTTGAAGATGATGTTACTAGATATATTTCATTGTTCCTGGGGGGCGGTCGGGTAGCCTAGTGGTTAAAGCGTTCGCTTGTCACGCCGAAGACCTGGGTTCGATTCCCGACATGGGTACAATGTGTGAAGCGCATTTCTGGGGTCCCCCGCCGTGATATTGCTGGAATATTGCTAAAAGTGGTGTAAAACTATACTCACTCACTCACTCACTCATTGTTCCTGGGAACGTTGAGATTGATAGCGATTTAATTTTAATATTATCTGCAGCATTCAGAGTAATTATATAGTTGCACCCAAAACAGTCTGTTAGTCTTAAAGGGTCTGTCATCAAGTTAGTGGGTAAATTATGATGTTAAGTTTCATCAACCCATTGTCTGTGGTAGTATATCAGTTAACACTATCAAACTACACATTAATTTATATTCCAGCACTGGTCATGATGATGGCACCTGCAGCATGTGTCTCCATGGAGATGATCTCTGAGGCCATCATCAGTGGTGCAAGTGATAGAGATGTCATGGCCGCATTCCACAACAGTGGCATGTCACTGGAAGATCTCACAAGATGGAGGCATCCGCTTCTGGCCATCAATGTATTCCAACTTGCCATTTTGTATAAACGAGCTGATCTGGTCCAGTCTCTTGGAACAATTAGCCCCTTCTTCTTGTCTGACAGATCCTTGTATAAGAAACAGATTGTTTGCGACACTGACAAAGCCTTGTGTGTCTGCAGAAGATGCCAAACAACTGAGGATCGAGATATAAAGGACTCTGGAGATTCGGTTGGGCAGGTACTCAACATAGCTGAGGAAACATGTGAAGATGAAGCTTCAGGAAACAGACACAAGCAGATAATAAACACATCCTCATCAGTAAGAAGCTGCAGCCTTTCTGATAAACCAGATATTACTCAGGAAGATCTGTCCACTGATCAAGACGGCAACAGTGACATGATCATTAACCCACCCCTACATCTTGCATGCATGGTTGGTTGTATCGATAGTATCAAGTATCTCTTAGAAAAACCAAGTTCCTTTTCGTTGAATGAAGTTGCCTATGTGTCTATAGCTGTAAGGACTGGGGAATCAAAGACAAGCAGCATGTACTATTCCTTGCCCTTGACACAGAGCAAGAGAGGAAAGCCATTTGAATTTTGCGTCTCTGGTGGCCATGTTGATTTTGCCTTTTATTTCCTGAACAATATCATTATTCAGTGTCTAGCTCTGAGGTTTTTGTATGCCGGAGTCCGAGAACCATCCTCCATGCTCCACAAGGCATGTTCTATAGGATGTGGTCCTTTGGTTGAGTTGCTGCTGAAGAACTCTTTCCGTGACGTCATCAGCCTTAGTGATAAGAATGGCAAGACCCCACTTCATGTGGCGGTATGGAATGGCGACACTGACACAATCCACCACCTTCTGGAATGTGGAGCATCGGTCAATGCTCTTACAGAATCGAAAGGTTGTCTTCACATCCTGTACCGATCCAAACTCCACCCATACAACTACATTGCCAACACAAAGCTGCTCATACAATTTGGCGTCAATGTACACATCACAGACAAAAATGGTAAATCTGCACTTCATATCCTTGCTGAGGAAATTGGCATCAGTCGAACTGATGTGATGCGGTACTGGAAGAAAGCATCCAATGCGATCGGTGAAATGACGTCCTCGAAGTGCAACCCAGAAGGGGATAATTATTCTATGAGCACCTACCAGAGCGATCTCATCACCTGTCTGGAACTGCTTCTAGAGAAGGGCATGAACCCAAACAAAGTAACCACCATGTCAGCGTTCAACGAGACAGTGTTGGAAGTCCTACTGCAGTACAGTTCCCTTCCTTACACCCAGACCACCCTGTGGAACAGTCCACTGCTTGTATATCGGGCAGTGGAACTACTATTGTCCAACGGCGCCAACCCCAATATTCCCAGCAGATGCTCAGACCTGCCGATCTTCACCTACTTCATCATGAACCATCTCAATGATATAGAAGATAAAAATATGAAACACAAATTTATTCACCTGTTTAGTTTGTATGGTACCGACTTCGACCGTCCATATATGAACGGGTGCTACCCATTGGTGGCAGCTGTAGAGAAACAGACTTCTCTGAATGTGGTGGAGCTGATTGGTAGTCTGATGGACATAGAGCATCTGCATCATGCCATGATGACTGTCCAGCAGAGATTCCTGCCCCCGCTCATGTATTCTAACAAGCCTAAGGAAGTAGACTTTGCATATGGGGTTGTGCAACTGTTTGAAAAGCTAAGGATAAGATCACTGAGACATCTTTGTAAAGTTACAATCTTGAAACAAGTTACGTGTGCAGCTAGAGATGTCAAACAGCTTCCTCTGCCCAGTTACCTCAAGACTTATATCACCACTGCCTCATTCTAAGCCTGTTAAAAGTCAGATCATATGTTTTTATATTTTTTTACCAATATTTTAAAATGGTGGAAAGAAAAAAATGATACATTCAGGGATAATTAGAGATTATTTGTTTTTTTGGGTTAAACGCAGCACTCAGCAATATTCGAACTATATGACGTGGTCTGTAAATAATCAAGTCTGGACCAGAAAATCCAGTGGTTGATATCATTAGCATCAATCCACGAAATTGGGATCGATGACATGCATCAACCAAGACAGCGAGCCTGACCACCCGATCCCGTTAGTCTTCTCTTACGACAAGCATAGTCGCCTTTTACCACAAGAATGGGTTGCTGAAGACCTTATCACCCCAATTAGAGATTAAGTACAACGATAAAGAACAACAAACAGTAACATTGAGTAAGTAACATATGAGTTAATGAGCATTTTTTTCAAATGCCTGTTGGTTTTGTTTGCTTTTATTTCGTAAAAATTGCTATAAAAATAGTTATTTAAAGAAAAGATACTGATAAATATTTTTCAAAATGAGCACATTTTTATTGAACAGAGCATTTATTATTTATTTGCAAAATTTATACTTATAGACAAGCAATGTTTTTCCATGTCTCTGTGTTGCTGTGATGTAACCATGGTAACTGGAATATTGTTCACAGCCGCATTAATCCCAACTTTATGTATACAGTCAAACACCACTGTGTTGAAGTTGAAGTTGAATACTTCAAGTTATCAAAGGTTCGACACAACCAAATAGGATGAATAAAGAACTAATACACTGGGATGGAACTGTTACTTTAAAACAATCGTAACTTTGACACAGCAAAATTCAACACAACAGTGTTTGTATATAGAGAACTATTCAAGCTATTACCACATGCATGAGCTGTGAGGGTTGGTGGTGTGTTTTCATTATTGTTTCCGTACACTGTTCATGTAAATATATGTGTATGATCAAGTTTTCTGTGATCAGAAAATTACGTTTTTGTTTCAAATATATGTCTACTTTCTACTGAACACATCGATATATATTTATGCTTCTATTTTTATGGTACAGTGTTTAAATAACATGCACTCATCTGATTGTTTGAGTCAACCCAGAGTCCAGTTACTTGGGTCAGCCTCATCTTGCCATCCTTGGGATTCGGGGACTGATCAAGTCTTCACTGTCCCATTGGAGTTCTCGGGTACATAAGGGGAGGTCGGGTAGCCTAGTGGTTAAAGCGTTCGCTCATCACGCTGAAGACCTGGGTTCGATTCCCAACATGGGTACAATGTGTGAAGCCCATTATTGGTGTCCCCCGCCGTGATATTGCTGGAATATTGCTAAAGGGGGCGTTAAACCATACTCAGTCAGTCAGTCAGTCTCAGGTATATATATGTTCAACCTGTGAAGAATTATGGGAACAAGCTAGGGACACTCCCCAGTGCCCAATGCTAGTCTCTGAGGGGATTCAGGGTTGATTTAGATCCCCAGTGCACAATACTAAGCTCCAAGGGGATTCGGGATTGATGTAGATCCCCAGTGCCTAATACTAAGGTCTGAGGGGATTCAGGGTTGATGTAGATCCCGGGTGCCCAATACTAAGCTCTGAGGGGATTCAGGGTTGATGTTGTTCCCCAGTGCCCAATACTAAGCTCCGAGGGGATTCAGGATTGATGTAGATCCCCAGTGCGCAGTGCTAGTCTCTAAGGGGATTCGGGATTGATGTAGATCCCGAATGCCCAATGCTAAGCTCTAAGGGGATTCAGGATTGATGTAGATCCCCAGTGTCCAATACTAAGCTCTAAGGGGATTCAGGATTGATGTAGATCCCCAGTGCCCAATACTAAGCTCTAAGGGGATTCGGGATTGATGTAGATCCCCAGTGCCCAATACTAAGCTCTAAGGGGATTCAGGATTGATGTAGATCCCCAGTGCCCAATACTAAGCTCTAAGGGGATTCAGGATTGATGTAGATCCCCAGTGCCCAATACTAAGCTCTAAGGGGATTCAGGATTGATGTAGATCCCCAGTGTCCAATACTAAGCTCTGAGGGGATTCAGGATTGATGTAGATCCCCAGTGTCCAATACTAAGCTCTAAGGGGATTAAGGATTTATGTAGATCCCCAGTGCCCAGTGCTAGTCTCTAAGGGGATTAAGGATTGATGTAGATCCCCAGTGCCCAATACTAAGCTCTAAGGGGATTCAGGATTGATGTAGATCCCCAGTGTCCAATACTAAGCTCTGAGGGGATTCAGGATTGATGTAGATCCCCAGTGTCCAATACTAAGCTCTAAGGGGATTAAGGATTTATGTAGATCCCCAGTGCCCAGTGCTAGTCTCTAAGGGGATTAAGGATTGATGTAGATCCCCAGTGCCCAATACTAAGCTCTAAGGGGATTCAGGATTGATGTAGATCCCCAGTGCCCAATACTAAGCTCTAAGGGGATTCAGGATTGATGTAGATCCCCAGTGTCCAATACTAAGCTCTGAGGGGATTCAGGATTGATGTAGATCCCCAGTGTCCAATACTAAGCTCTAAGGGGATTCGGGATTGATGTAGATCCCCAGTGCCCAATACTAAGCTCTAAGGGGATTCGGGATTGATGTAGATCCCCAGTGCCCAATACTAAGCTCTAAGGGGATTCAGGATTGATGTAGATCCCCAGTGTCCAATACTAAGCTCTGAGGGGATTCAGGATTGATGTAAATCCCCAGTGCCCAGTGCTAGTCTCTAAGGGGATTAAGGATTGATGTAGATCCCCAGTGCCCAATACTAAGCTCTAAGGGGATTCGGGATTGATGTAGATCCCCAGTGCCCAATACTAAGCTCTAAGGGGATTCAGGATTGATGTAGATCCCCAGTGTCCAATACTAAGCTCTGAGGGGATTCAGGATTGATGTAGATCCCCAGTGTCCAATACTAAGCTCTAAGGGGATTAAGGATTGATGTAGATCCCCAGTGCCCAGTGCTAGTCTCTAAGGGGATTAAGGATTGATGTAGATCCCCAGTGCCCAATACTAAGCTTTAAGGGGATTCGGGATTGATGTAGATCCCCAGTGCCCAATACTAAGCTCTAAGGGGATTCAGGATTGATGTAGATCCCCAGTGCCCAATACTAAGCTCTAAGGGGATTCACGCTTGATGTTTAGCCTAGTGCCCAGTGCTTGTTTGGACTGTGATTTGGATTTTCCAGCCTACAATGAATTGTTCAAAAAGGGTTGGGGGCACAGGTGGTCCAGTCACTTATGGCACCTCAGTTCACTGTTGCAGAATTGTCCCTTGAGCACACCAGAAACCTACGATCATGGGTTCGAATCCCAGTTCACCAGATTTTGTTTCTAGGTTTGTCATACCTGTGTTTCACCAAAGGGGTAAACATCCAAGACCTGCACCTGTGTTGTAGCTGGAATACTGTTAAAAGCGGAGTTAAACCCAAGTCACTCACTCACTCATAGATGGGTGACAAGGAGAGACTAGCCATGATGTTTTGTAGCCTGTTCAAGTCACTTTCAGAGCTTGTGATGATTTAAATGTGATTAGTCATGTTTCAAGGGTTTACTCCATGTTTAATTATGTACCTGTTCTGCCATGTCTTTCTGTGTTATGGTCATTGAACTATTTCACAAGTGTCTTTCAACAGTGTTATGGTCATTGAACTATTTCACAAGTGTCTTTCTGTGTTATGGTCATTGAACTTTTTCACAAGTGTCTTTCAACTTGTTTCTTCCATAACTGCTCATTTCTTGTCTAAACATGCTGAAGATATATGAACACTGATATTACTTTTATGATACAAAGAGTGTTTTTATCGTGTGTATTGTCAACAGTGGTCAACAAGTGCCGAGGCCCAGTGGTTCTATTGAAAAGATCTGATCAACCAAAACAAACAAGATCTGGCGCTTTTGTTTGCATGAGCTGATATTTCATATAAATATCATCTAAATAAATTATTTGAATTGCCTTGTTCAAGTGTTTTCTCTTCACTCAGAGGGGCGGTCGGGTAGCCTAGTGGTTAACGCGTTCGCTCGTCACGCCGAAGACCCGGGTTCGATTCCCGACATGGGTACAATGTGTGAAGCCCATTTCTGGTGTCCCCCGCCGTGATATTGCTGGAATATTGCTAAAAGCGGCGTAAAACAATACTCACTCACTCTTCACTCAGAAGTCAGTGATTTTGCAAGAGACAAATGTAATAAGGACATTTTCTTGACCTTAGCAAATTCTGAAAGGACTTTCCTCTATATAATGTTACAAAATCTTCGTAACATTTTCGACGACTAGTTTCAGTGTCCTAGAAACTTCATGGAACTGAAACCCTGAAAGAACTGTTTATTTTGCCCATTCTTGATTTTCCACTCATGATAGTACTGTAAAGTAGAGGTCAACACACAGCTGCAGTCATGACAACTGTCTCCATGACAATGGTTGCTATTTGATCCTGTAACTGGTACTGGTCAACACACACATGCTTTATGACAACAGCGACATAGTGGTACACCTGACATGCTAGAATGGCAACCAACTTCGCTCTTCCTGGAAAAGATTACAAAATACCTTCATACGAACACAGATAGTTTATTTTACGTCCTATGATATTGATGTGCTGTACATAAAGTGTAAGCATTGTTACAAAAACACAAACTTATACACTGTACATAGCATGTCATAATTTGTTCAGAGGTACACAAAATCTATATTTCCTGAACATGCTGAAGTATCTATGACAACAGAAACGTTTTTCTTATCAAGTCCATGTTCTATCCAGATTATATTCTATTCTGTGATCTCCCAGATGAGTATGATTGTCAATTTTCAGGAGCCAAAACAAGGATTTTACTAATAAAATACCTAAACAATTACTCATACTGAATCTATGATACTCAAAACAAGTTAAGGAACACCTACAATTTGAAGGTTGTGTGTTGCTATACCCACAAGCCATGACAGATCAACAGTCACATGTTCCTTAACTTCTTTTGAGTAGTATTTATATATATTAAAAGAGGATGATACACATGCATGCAAGAGTTCGAAAATTTTATCGCTAACAATGCGGTATACGACTATGCAACACTGGCAGTACAAACACATACAGACACTGATAAATACACATTATATACAATATGTACAGTAATTGCTTTCTGGTGTCGTCCGTGCCACACCGTTTGAACACTGTACAAGATTCTTCTTTGAAATGAACTAATTTGGAATATACAACTCTCCTGTCTAAAATTAATTTATATCACCATGATAAACTGGAGATTAATGGTGTAAATAACAGAACATATCCTGATACAGCATTGAAGCAAGGTGGACAATGGCAAACTGTCTGAATCTTTTTGATATTTTTGTGTGACATTTGTTATTTTCTAAACCTATCAGTGCACTGATTACATCCCAGAGAACCTACAATGTGAGGAAGTATCTTGTTCTCCCTGGTACTTGAACATGTTGAAGAGATTTCATAATAATGAAAAATGATTAAAGGAATTTATCGTTGATGCTAGTTGTTTTTTTCTATTATGCATTTATGACAACAATTTTGTTTGTGGCTGCAAAACAGATTTGATTTGATTTTTTTTGTGTGTTTTGTTTTGTCTGTTGTTTAATGCCCCACTCAGCAATATTCCAGCTATATGACTGAGGTCTGCAAATAATCGAGTCTTTATAAGACAACCCAGTGATTGACATGAGCATTAATCTTTGCAATTGGGATACGATGAAATGCATTAACCATGTCAGAGAGCCTGACCACCCGATCCTGTTTGTCCCCTTATGACAAGCATTTATATGCAAAGATAAAACAGGTGGTGCATTAATGAGCATGAAGTTTTTGTATTGTAAAAGATATTGTTCTGTAAAAGATAGTCATCTGGCACCATAGAATTTCTGTCTGGTGAAAAAACCTGACAAATCACGAACTGGAAAACCTCAGTTCTCCGAAATGGGTAAGCTATTCCTGTTATTTACATGAAGTTTGTGAGAAGCAGATTCCTTGTAAGAGATCTATCCCTGTTCATGCTACATAGTATGCCCTCCTCATTCAAACACATGGAGGTGCGTCAGTGCATGATTTCCTGACACAACACAGGGATAGAGAATAAACTATAAAGTCTACTAGCCCTAGTGATAACATAGAAACATCCACAAAATGTTTGAAACTTTACCATATGTGAAACTGGTTCAGGGTAGCGTTAATTTCTCTTCCTGCAAAACATGTATTGGGACACCAAGTATCATGATGACGAATCTATGTTGAATGTTACACCCTACAGCACATGCTTCGCTACAATCTGCTGTAGTCTTTCACAATGCTGTGTTACATGGTGCTCTAGCAGGCTGAGTATTGTACTGCTGCTCCCTGAAGTAGGCAGGGACAGATACTCTAGGCTTCACTCTCCCCTTCTATAGACTGCTGGTCCTCCAGTATAGGAACAATAAGGTTGTCTTTGGACATCAGATTGTATTTTGTCACAAACTGGGTGAATCGACGGCACAGGTAAGTCTCATTCTGAAAACACATACAAAATGTACAAAAACTGCTTCCATGTGAACAAAGGAATGGCATCTTCAAACCAAAGCATACTATTCATGTTATTAGCTGACCAACTGTAAATTGTCCAGTCATTACATCACACCTGAGGGTGAAGTGAGTGAATAATTTACCTTGCAGTCACATCATCCTCTAAATAACCTAGTCCTGGTTGTCATGGGGATCCTAGGTGCATTGAGGCATGGGGACCTAGAATTCCCATAGGGGACAATCATCTGGTATTTGGGACACTGTCTGCCCTAAAATCCCCAAGGGGAGACAAGCATTGAGTACTGGGAACATAGTCTGCCCAGTGATGTGAATATTGTACATACAGTACAGTACGGTCATAACGAGTGAGTGAGTGAGTGAGTTGGGTTTAACGCCGCTTTTAACAGTATTCCAGTTATATGGCGGCGTGTCAGCTTAATGTGGGAGGAAAGCCCGAAGTGATGCAGGTCTTAGACCTTTACCACTTCGGTGAAACCCACGAGCACGGGTATGGTGCTGACAAACCTAGAAACATAATCGGGGCGAACTGGGATTCGAACCCACAATCATAGGTTTCTGGCGTGCCCAAGGGACGCAACTCTGCACAGCGAATCGCGTCGCCTTAGACAACTGGGCCACCCGTGCCCCCACGGTCATAACGAACTCAAAGGGCCTACTAATTTTTGTTCGTTATAACCATGATAACCATAGTTCGTTATAAGCATATATACAGCGTAACTATAGCAAATAGTCGGGACCAAAAAAGTAAGTTTGTTATATCCGTCAGTTCGTTATAAGCGTGTTCGTTATAACTGTAGTTTACTGTACAACAACCTAATAAAACTTGGAAATGAAACGCTCACCTCATATTCATCAAACAGTGTTCGGTGATGGAAGTATGCATGTGAGAATATTCGATACACACGGCGGCAGACGGACCCCAACTTGGCTACTGAGGATTCCTTGATGCTCACTCTGGAACAAAGACAAAACAGGTGAGGTGAAATGAGGTTATGTTCCAGATTACCGGTATTGCACTTATATACTTATTTAGGGATGTGTGTGTATGACTGGGGGGTTGGGGGGCTTGTACTTGTCCAGACTAAAAGGTTATGAGTGAGTGAGTATGGTTTTACGCCGCTTTAAGCAATATTCCAGCAATATCACGGCGGGGGACACCAGAAATGGGCTTCACACATTGTGCCCATGTCGGGAATCGAACCCGGGTCTTCGGCGTGATGAGCGAACGCTTTAACCACTAGCCTACCCGACCGCCCCCTAAAAGGTTATGAAAAAATGACATGTAAAGGGTTCAATTAAATTGGGAAGGGGGTCAGCAATATATGAAAATATGTTTCAGTCCTACCACCCAGCTCACCCAGACCCCTACCCCCAAAAATAGGCCCAGTCACTAATACCAGTTCCCTCACTGAGATACCATGCCACAGTCAATCTCATTGAAATCAGATCTTTGTTCTCGCTATCGCTAAACAAAGATCTGAGGACATTCCATTAGGGGTCACGTCATAACGACCTTTCATCCAACCAATCAGAGCGTCGCTTACCAGATCATGAAAGGGACATTCGGAATGTGTTTTCTAATCATGCAACCACGATATATTTAACACGGGGTATTCCGAACGACACTTACAGGTTTTATGATTATATCCATACAACTTATGCTATCTACAAGCCATTCCAGAATGTTCTTCTTATCAGTTTTTAAATTTTTAACCGAGAATACGTCAAAATATGTTTCGAAGCATAGTCGCCAGTTTGAAACTAGTGTCGTAAAGCTTGCGAAAGCTGCCTTCTGATTGGCCAATGTCGATTTCTTGTCAGTCATTTCATTGGTCGGTCAAAATTCGCGAAAAGGTCGTTCTGACGTGACCCGTAATGGGATGTCTTCAGATCTTTGTTTAGCAGTAGCGAAAACTAAGATCTGATTTTAATGAGATTGTGCCACAGTTTAACATGCATACCCCTATCAGACAGATGATACTGACCAAACAATTCTTGTTTTATCCATATAATGCCAAGCGCCAATCAGGGAAACAACAAGTACCATCTTTCAACGTCTTTTCGTATGACGCAGATAGGAATCAAACAATCAACCTTCCGCTCTCTGGGCAGTTGCTCTATGAACTAGACCACGAATGCATTCCAAGATTGATGAAACATGGGGCCTGACAGTCATCTATTACATCAGTCATCAGGTACTGTGGACCTATTCTGCCTACGAATCACCACAGGGCCTATGTGTAACAAAGAGATGTTGTCACCTGCTAGGGAAGTACTTGTTGCTATTAAGTAGACAGGCTGCTCCGTCCAGGGTGTGCCGGGTGTAGTCTATTGCTGGGCACTGTCACAACACAAAAGTTACCCTAAGTGAGGCATGCCACTCTTACATGTAGAGCTGAGTATCATCTCATTCTTGCGATATGATACGTATCACACTACTGTTTGTTTGTTTGTTGTTTAACACCGTACTCAGCAATATTACAGCTGTTTGAAGGTGGTCTGTAAATAATCCAGACTGGACCAGACAATCCAGTGATTGGTATCATGAGCATCGATCTATGCAATTGGGATACGATGAAATGCATCAACCGCGTCAGCGAGTCTGACCACCTGATCCCGTTAGTCGCCTTTTACGGCAAGCATGGGTTGCTGAAGACCTATTCTACCCTGGATCTTCAGGGGTTCACACTACTGACTTACAGTTTCACTTAAAAACAAGGCGATCCAGCATAGCACACAGTTACTTCCCTTTACATGCACACTACTTTACTGCACATCTTGTGTCATGGTAATGGCAGCAATAGGAGTTTGTATGCTTGTTTAGGTATGTTTGGAGGCCCTTTCCCAGGATGATGATACACAAATGTTTATCTGGTTTCATAATTGTTTGAACAAGCAACAACAACAAAAACAACCGCCCACCCCTACTATATTTTCAAAAGTCATTGCCGAAGAACCAATTCTTTTCTTTTTTTAAGCCATATTAAAACAAATTCATGAAAATTCATACTAAATTAATTCACAGCCACAGAAATGTACACATTAATTAAGATTACCATGATTAAGATACCCCATGACAATTAAGACAGAAACTTCAAACAATTTATGGATCATCTTATTCAACATACATATTAGCATCAAATTGATTGATTGCAGGTATTCATAGAAAACCATATATCTATATACATACAGAATAACTAAATATATCATCAATTGATACCTTCATGTCCCTATAGCAATACTAAAACTGACAATCAGAGAGCACGATGACACTCCTAAAATTGCCAGTCTACTCGTCTGTCTTACAGACCCTGATACAAATATATATCAAATACAGCCCATGTAAGTCTATAATGTTTGGCAAGTCTAGATCACTGCAGTATCGGAAAATGAAGAGAGTCACTGGGCTCCTTTTTATTATATTTTTATTAAGATAACTGAACAACTGTTTTTTTATGTAAGATGTGTTCATTTCAGAGACTAGATGTTAGTGGCAAAACAAAGACAACTCCAGGCCAGTGGGAACAAGAGTTTTAACACACACTGACAAAATAATTTACACCATCAATAATATTCAAATGATTATCAGGGTTGCACAGACAATTTGACAAAACCCCAAGGAAGCCCCCTAAATTTCTTAAAGCAAAAATCTTAAAGTTATTTCACATATCTCTCAGCCCTTACCTCCTTTGGAGTCTTATGGGCAGCACAAAGGAAGATCCACTGTTCCGTGGCGGTCATCTGGGTGCATGTCTCAGGGTTGCAGTCACTTTGCTGATGAAAAACACTCAATTTACAAACACAGTTATTACAAAACTCCTATCAACCTTCACTTGTGTCAGGGCTTGAACAATTTAATTGTAAAATAATAAAAAAATCAGTAAAAAAATAACTGAAAACAAAATGGTAAGGTCAAAAGAAACTAGTTGTTTTTCAGGTAATAGCACCACAATAGTTGCAATTGGTTATAGTCAAAACATAAATTGTGCAAATTCCAAATCTGCCTGTGTGTTGGTTAGCAAGAATTAATAAACATTAATAGAGTTACTTCCCTTTGCTTTGAGTGGCGACAGGGAGGAAAATGGCTGAAAACTTCGAAACTGTCAGCAATACGTTATTCATTTCCATTACATTAATGTAGGCGAAATGGGGTTAAGTAGCATCCAAGATTATTGTACTTATATAGTGATGTGCATGTACCCGTGTGTGTGGCTGCTTGTACTAGTCTGGACTGATACCGATTTATAGTGCTAGCTCACTGAGATACCATGCCGCAGTTTAACATGAATACCCCACTCAGACACAGTATACTGACTCCGAGCCGACCAGTCCTTGTTTTAGCCCCTTAATGCCGAGCGCCAGACAGGGTAACAACAAGTAAGATCTTTTAACGTCTTTTGGTATGACACGGCCGGGGATCGAACCCCGGACCTTCTGCTCTCCAGGCGGACGCTCTACCACTAGACTACGGAGGCGGTCTACATTAATGTAATGGCAATAGTGAAAACAGCCCCAATAGTCACCCCTACCATTCAGTCAGCTCTGACAAGGAGCATGGGACAAAGGCACCTTTCCTGCCTAAGAATCTCCCCAGGAAACAAGTTCAGATCATGTGTCAGGATGATGTTTGCTTCCTGTTGTTTAAGGCCACACTAACAATATTATAGCCAATATTCAATGATGGTAGCCTGTGATTACTCTGACTCTGACCAGACGAACCAGTGATTGATGTTATGAGCAACATCCCATGCAGACAGGGAATGGTGACACACAAGTAAGAATCCCACTCGTGACCTTACAGCAGATAGCACAAGGGACCTCTGTTCTAGCCACAGAATTGCTACGATGTTAGGATGATGCTTGCTTATTTGTTTATTTATTTTGTTTAACACCGCACTCAGCAATATTCCAGCCATATAACAACAGTCTGTAAATTATCCAGTGATTGACATCATGAGCATCGATCCATGCACTTGGGATGATATGACATACATCAACCAAATCAGCGAGCCTGACCACCTGAACCCGTTATTAGCCTCTTACCACAAGCATAGTGAGTGGCCTGCATGGGTTGCTGAAGACCTATTCTACCCCAGATCTTCACAGGTTCAATCAAGACTGCTTATTTCAACCAAGTCGGTGAGTCTGACCACTAGATCCCATTTTTCACCTGTTACGACAAGCATAGTCGCCTTTTATGGCATGCATGGGTTGCTGAAGACCTATTCTACCCCGGATCTTCACAGGTGGATGATGCTTCTAAACCTATGATGACATCATATCTATCATCATAAACTTATCAGCAAACATTGACATATGAAACCTACCTGTAACTTAACTGCCAATCCATTAAGTTCCATACAGAATTGTCTGAAAAATAATCATGAAGACTGCTTCAACGGTACTTCAAATATGTGTCAAAAGTATAGAAAGAAACAAACAAATGAACTGAACAACGTATCTCAGAACATGCTTTTTAAACAAAATTGGCTGCAAAAAATTTAAATGTGTAAATAAGATGAAAAGAAGTGTTTTTTTTTATTCCCGACCTCAAATGAGTTAAAACTGTTGGTATCAGTTTAAATAAATTATTTAAAATACCATAATTAAGACCTGTAAAACCATTTCCTAAAAACTTCAAAACACAATGAATAATGACCAATCAGGGTGGGGGCGTGGGCCTGTGTGTCAGGACCGCAATGACATCAGGGAGACTCACCTGAGATGTTCATACTTCCATACCCCCTCATCCTGGCCCTCTGGGGGGGTCAGGATCTCAACAACATTGGTGAAGTCCTTTCTGATAGCTTGTTGAATGAACTGAATAAAAACAAAACATCTACTTCAGAATGCAGGGTTAGAAATTGGCACTAGTCCTGTGATCCTTGCCAAACTGCCCAATAGTTTGGACTACCAGTAGTAGAAATTTGCCATTTTTAAGGGTTTTGCTATATATTATCATTATAAGGACTAGAGGACCAAAATTGTTAGTTTCTACTGCTGTGAATGTATCTTCAAAACAACTTTCACAAAACAATACTGATTTACTTAACAGATATGAACATGTGTTAGAGTGAGTGAGTGGGACGAGCTTAACTTTTACACCACCTTGATACTGTATTGCATGTATGACGACATGAAAGCCTGATGTGGCAGTAACACTAGAGTGACAGCGGTCAAGACTTGACCTCCCATGGACATGATATTGGTCAGATCTTGACACAGACAAAGAGGTATCAAGTCAGAGTAAACAATCTGATAAGAATGAGACTAAATTTACATTTAACTCCTTTAAAGATTCTATTGGCCCCAAACATAATAAGGGATGAGATATTTTCCTTTTCAGCTCAAACTTCTTTGCAATGGAGCGTGGTCAATAATTTGGGGGTGTTTATGGGAGGAACCATCAGACAAATTTGTGGTCACTAGTATTTGCAGTAATTTACTGATCCGCGGAAGATACTCCTACCTACAGAATGCTTAAGCTATGAAAAACTAGTCTGTGACTGAAGCCTGAAACCCATATCTAGCCAAACTTCTTTTGATCAAGCAAGCTTTTTCAATAAAAGTCCTCACTTTAATACTGACTCTAAATCTCCTGGAACATGTGTAAATGACAAAGTGAGTGAGTTAGGTTTAACGCCACTTTTAACAGTATTCCAGCTATATCGCAGGGTGTCAGCTTAATGTGGGAGGAAAGCCGGAATCGATGCAGGTCTCAGATGTTTCCCATTTCAGTGAAACCCACGAGCACGGGTATGGTGCTGACAAATCTAGAAACATAATTGGGGATTCAGGATTTGAAAACCACAATCATAGGTTTCTGGCATGCCCAAGGGACGCAACTCTGCACAGCGAATGACGACTGGGCCACCCATGCCCCTGGAAATGACAACGTGACAAGATCATGCTAGAATACTCAAACATTTTTGACAGACTGAAATAAATACCATAAGTGGCCATGTCTCTACCTTTGACAACAGCCTTGATGCCTGAAATGATATAGGGGGGCCCAGGTGGCCCAGTCGTCTAAGGCGCCGCGATTCGCTGTGCAGAGTTGCGTCCCTTGGCACGCCAGAAACCTATGATTGTGGGTTCGAATCCCGGTTCGCCCCGATTATGTTTCTAGGTTTGTCAGCACCATTCCCGTGCTCGTGGGTTTCACCGAAGTGGTAAACGTCTAAGACCTGCATCACTTGGGGCTTTCCTCCCACATTAAGCTGACACGCTGCGATATAACTGGAATACTGTTAAAAGCGGCGTTAAACCAAACTCACTCACTCGCTCACTGAAATGATATAGAATCACAATAACTGTAGCACTGATGGTGGAGTTGTGACCTTTGAGACAAGCCCTTCCTACCTGTTGCACTGCAAGTGTGCTGTCCATCTCCTCAAAGGACTCATCCTGCCAGCTGCACCAGTTCTAGATGAACAAAAAGAGTGTTGAGAGTTTAACATGTTCAGTTTAACGTCACACTGAACTGGTGAGATGAGGTGAAATGGCGCTTAATGTTGCGTTCAAGATTAATGCACTTACATAGCGATGTGCATTTGTACTAGTCCGGACTAATGCCGATTTTATAGTGCTAGCTCAGAGACACCATGCCACAGTTTAACATGAATGCCCCACTAAGACACTGCAGGGGCGGTCGGGTAGCCTAGTGGATAAAGCGTTCGCTCGTCACGCCGAAGACTCCGGTTCGATTCCCGACATGGGTACAATGTGTGAAGCCCATTTCTGGTGTCCCCCGCTGTGATATTGCTGGAATATTGCTAAAAGCGGCGTAAAACCATACTCACTCACTCAGACACTGCACACTGATTCCGAGGTGACTAGTCCTAGTTTAAGCGCCGTTTCTATATTGGCTCAGGCTGCAGACTGTGGCTCACTCTTCACAGATCTCACATGCCTCTTCAATCCTTAGGGTAAGTTGTGTTGTGTTGGGGTAAGGGTAGGTTACCCCAACTCAATCCTTAGCCCTTGGATCCTCTTTCCAACCCTTCACGATCCTTAGGGTCGGGAACCACATGCCGATCAAACACCCCTTTTATGATCCTTAGGGTTAGTTGGGAGGTAGGGCATGGGTTAGCGATTGCTTTTGAGGAATGAATCATATGTAATCTGAAGAGTTTTTTTTCTTCAAGTTTTGAGTTTTGCATGCGTAGAAAGGTAACCAATCGGATGCTGATGACTTGGTAAATGAGCACTCATTAGTTGTGATAGCTCCCATACTCCCATGGTTGGGTGTTGGCTAATAAGATTAGCCCATCAGCTATGTTAGTTCAAGAGTCCTGAAAAAGGGAGCCCGGTAAAGTGCATAACTTCCAAAAGCTAATTGAGTGTTGAATTTTATGCATCTAAACATTTCACAATATGTAAGATCTGAAACCATATGGGTACGCTAGATTATTGCAGTGGATCGTGATGGCACATAATTACTAACCAATTAAATATGTTGTACGCCAAATGTTTCTTGTTCAAATTTTATGACACATCAGTTAGGATTGATTGATCGATGCCAATTTTCTTTTCCATGTTGGGTCAACAAAGTACTTGTAATCAGTGACACAAGGGCGGGCAACTCTATATTATCACTGTATCATTATTTAAGGGACATCACCCAAACAAATGGGTTATTTTCTTACCAATTCCGAATGGAGGAAGTAATTCCACTTCACAAATCTTCCAGAAACTATCACAAAAAAAGTTAAGGTGTTTACTTACGAGTTGCCAAGACATACCGCAACGAGTCCTGTATTCGATCAAGCTATGAAATACCATGCTTAGATTTGCATAAGCAGACAGTCGACAGGGGATGTGGATTCCAAGATGTACCAACACCGCGATAATATGTCATGTTATAGGCCTATATTGTCTGGTATGATGTGATATAAGAACTAGGCTAAAGAAATTGATCACCGATATTATTGTTTGCGAGTACATCTGGCTAATTCAAAACACTATAGAAAGCCCAAACACGATTTCAATGTAGCTTTATAGTAAGTTTGCAGTGTGTGGAAACTATAGTGCATGTTTTCATCATCATGAACATGAAGTAGAGTGGTTGACTCGGACATTGTTTCATGTTTGACAAGGTGCTACTGGATGGTGAATCAAATCCGCAAATTGTTTCACGCCGCGTCATCAATAATCAAGCGCGTTCACGCGTATCACAGACCAATAATTGAGACATATGTTGAATAATCGTAAAACACACCTGAGATTTAGTACCAGGACGATTCCTCCTAACAATCGTGCCTGCAGTATCGGTGGCAGCCATTTTCATTTTGGTCAACAAGGGACATAACTCTGTAAGATAATTATATCCTCCGCCAAACTCATCGTCTTTGGATGGGAGGATCGAATCCTGTGTTTTACATATGATTTTTTGTTACTTATTTTGTATATACGTGAACAATTATGATTTAAGCGTCATACCACTGAAATAGAGAAAATACAGATTGACAGATTAACCAGGGGGTTTCTTCTACAAACTGGATAATTATATAATTTAGTTTAAACTTGGCCTTTTAAACTCATTTAGGAGACAAATGCTCAAAGACTCGTGCAAAAACAGAACTAGCCAAACACAACAAGGGGGTGTTTTAAACTCTCATTACATTTTTAGAATATATACATTCAACAAACATTAGCAGATATTCGTCTTACATGAAATATTCAGACATTCTTCTTGTATAAAACATTCAGATATTCTTCATACACACAACATTCTCATCGACTCTGTACACGATTAGCATAAACAATACGACCTTGTACATGATGAGCATATAACAATACGATCTTGTACATGATGACTATATAACAATACGGCCCTGTACATGATGAGTATATAACAATACGACCTTTAAATGATGAGTATATAACAATACGGCCCTGTACACGATAAGTATATAACAATACGACCTTTACATGATGAGTATATAACAATACGACCCTGTACATGATGAGTATATAACAATACGACCTTTACATGATGAGTATATAACAATACGGCCCTGTACATGATGAGTATATAAAAATACGACCTTTAAATGATGAGTATATAACAATACGACCTTTACATGATGAATATATAACAATACGACCTTTACATGATGAGTATATAACAATACGACCTTTGCATGATGAATATATAACAATACGATCTTTACATGATGAATATATAACAATACGACCTTTACATGATGAATATATAACAATACGGCCCTGTACACGATTAGTATATAACAATACGACCTTTACATGATGAGTATATAACAATACGACCCTGTACATGATGAGTATATAACAATACGACCCTGTACATGATGAATATATAACAATACGATCTTGTACATTGTGAGTAGTTCCGTGAAGATCCGGGGTAGAAAAGGTCTTCAGCAAGCCATTTCTGCGGTAAAAGGCGGCGATGCTTGTCGAAAGAGGCGTCTAACGGGATCAGGTGGTCAGGCCTGCTGACTTTGTTGCTGCATGTCATCGTATCTCAATTGCGTGGATCGATGCTTATGATGTCAATCACTGAAATTGTCTGGTCCAGACTCGATTATATACAGACCGCCGTCATATAGATGGACTATTGCTCAGTGCGGCGTAAACAACAAACTAGAAACTAGATACATGCTGAGTATGTAATAATACAACCCTGAACACTATGTATTTAAGAAACAGTATGTACAGCCTCTTTAGGATGTAGATAAAATGTACCAGCTTTAAAGATATTTAATAATGATGACACCCTAAATAGAATATGTCCAATTCGAAAAGGTGAGTTATATTTGGTATTTCCTGCATATTCTCACAATCATTTATCCCCACCTTTCCCCTAATACCGATTATCATATCTCTCGCATTTTGGATGTGATCGTTCGGCCATAGCGTTGATCTGCGTAGCCCATCTTCATCTATGGAACAGCTTACTTCACACTAAAATAACGTAGGAGGTCATCAATTTTCGACGTCATATTCAAATCTCCAGAAATGACGTCATGATGGAACATGTCAATGTTTAATCGTGCAATAAACCACGCTTCGTTCTTTATTTTTCTTTGTGATTTAAGGCGTAGCTATTTTATATCTAAGAAATAAACGACAAGTGGGAGTTGTTTATCGTACAATGAGGGAGTGAGTGAGTGAGTATGGTTTTTCGCCGCTTTTAGCAATATTCCAGCAATATCACGGCGGGGGACACCAGAAATGGGCTTCACACATTGTACCCATGTCGGGAATCGAACCCGGGTCTTCGGCGTGACGAGCGAACGCTTTAACCACTAGGCTACCCGACCGCCCCGTTTATCGTACAATGAAACACTGCAGGGAGAATACACCATAAGGGGTGCAAGGGTGGTGAAACGTATACATTGTTTGATCGGCATTACTTAGAAGTTGGCGAATGACAACGTAGGCACAATATATGGATAACAACTACTTTATTAACTGTAAAAACGACGTTTCGGAAAAGCTCCTAAAACCGTTGTGAAGCAAGTTTTTATAGTTTTCATAGATTTTACGACCGCTTTTTCCCAGTCGGGGTCAGGTTGGGGTGAATTTGGAGATTCTAATATGGGACAATAATATAAAAACACCTGACCCCCCAAAAACTGTATATAATGGGGTTAAATTAATTATATAAAAATGGTAAAGTCGTGTAGGTAAGAGATACAGTAAACTACGGTTATAACGAACTCAAAGGGACTACTAATTTTAGTTCGTTATAACCGTAGTTCGTTTTAAGCATATATGCATCATAACTACAGCAAAAAGTCGGGACCAAAAAAGTAAGTTCGTTATATCCGTCAGTTCGTTATAAGCGTGTTCGTTATAACCGTAGTTTACTGTAGTAATGATGTTGTTGTTTCTTCAAGTGTTTCTGCCTCGGCGGTTTCGGCTGACCTGTCCCTCTTTGGGACTTATGTGTGTGAGTTTTTGTTTTTGTTTTTGTATTGATATGATTTCTGTTTTCGTACATTGATATGACTTCAGTTTTATCTTTGGCTGCTCTGTTTATATACGCTCGCGTAGCTGTCCACCTCTCAGAAATAGTGTTAGTTTGGCCTTCGCTATTGCATCTCTTGGCTTTAGGAGATTGAGGACAGAGAGCGGATCTAACTGCAATTCTTGATTTAACCGAACCCAGACAAGTGAGCAATGGATTCAGATTGATTGCAGTATGGACATACATTGTCATGGTGCATTTTGTGACGGAGTCTGATGCGTGTGATGGCTATTTCAAATTTTTCTTTTAATTGAGTACGAGTATGGCTTTTGGTGGATCTTGGGTTGAAAGTTGTAAAGCCACCTGTCGATCTTACTTGCGCCCCACTGTGCTTGCCAACTTTGGGCTATGGAGGCTTTGATTTTGCGTTTTAGCTCTAGTTTACCAAAGGGAATAGGCTTTATCTCCGCGTTGTCTAGAGCTAGCTTCGCCACCATGTCTGCTTTTGTCATTTCCACGAATACGTATGTGAGACGGGGTGCAACACTCCACCTGTTTCCCTTGGTCCGATAGTTTTGTATATTTGTAAAGAATATAATTGACTGTGTTTGGCCTGGAGTTTGAGTTTCTGCCGCTGGTGGCTTGAAGTGCACTTAGCGAGTCTGATAGGACGACTGCCTTTGCTTCCGGAAGTTCCGGTATGAGTTTGAGTGCATGATGAATTGCCTCCAATTCAGCCGTGAATACTGACTGACCATCAGGCAGGCAAACCGAATGTGCTTGGGGTTTGGAGCTATGGATATGGATCCTGCAACAAACAATGTTGTTGATAGGATTCCTGGATCCATCAGTGTATATATGGGTCCAGCTGTCCCAGGTAGTTTGAAGTTTAGTGATAGCTACTGATCGTAGTAAGGTTGAGTTTTCTTTTTTTAGTGACTTCTGATGTTAAAGCAGTGTTAACTTTTGGAGTTTTAAAGTCCAGGGAGGGTGTAGCCCTTTGTAGTTATATTCTGGTGGCTGAATGTCATCACAATTGTGAGTTCGGATGAGTTCTCGTACTGGTATCCTAGATGGCTTTAGTAAGGGATTTTTCCGAGCTAGGACTTCGTCTCGGGTGTATTTGTCTTGCCATATCCTTTTCAACAAAACGTTTGATGTTCGTTCCCAGTACGATACTATTGCATGCTCTCTTCTTAGTTTCAATGGGAGTTTTCCGGTTGTAGTGCTTCTAGTGAAGTGCCTGTTGCTGCACCTGTGGCCAGCATCAGGGCTTTGCATTGTATTCGACCGAGGCGGTTCAAGACAATATATATTTGATGCTGAGTGAATAATAGTCTATTTTTGATCCGATAAGTGATTTATAGAGGCCCAACTGATGAGGGTCCCTCGATGTGCCCCAAGATGTGCCTGAAATACGTTCAGGTCTTTTGGACACTGTTTTCCACATATCCTATGTGTTTGCGCCAACTGAGGTGTTGATCTATTATCACCCCTAGAAATATTGCTGATTTTTCGAATTTGTTTGGTTTGCCCTTTATGGAGACACGGGGTATGATAGCATCTTGTCCCCCTGCGTTTGAATAGAACTACCACAGTTTTTTCACTTGAAAGGGTGAACCCCCATTTATTATACCATTGATCTACTCCGTCCAGGGCTGACTGGAGTTTTTTTTCAGATTTGAGAAATATATCTGTGCTCTACCCATACTGCTCCGTCATCAGCGAATTTAGAAATTTGCGTAGGAGTGTTGATATGATCAAATAGATCATTGACCATGATGTTAAACAGGGTTGGGCCCACAACCACACACTCACCCGCACCCACGCACCCTCCATCCCCACTCCTACACTCAACCGCCGCCCCCCACCCCACCCCACCCCCACACACGCGCACACTCCACTTACACACACACCCACACACATACCCTACCAAACACACACACCTTGACCTGCTTCAGCTGTTCCGCCGGTGATGTCCTCATACTTCCTGACACCATATCCTCCTGGCGGTGTTATCTTATCTGAGCGTGGTCGTGACACTCAGTGCCTGCACAAGTCACATGATACCTTGAGTGTTTCCTGAAGTGTACGAGATAAGAGTTTGAACAAACAAAAGCAGGACATGTGCGTATTTTGCATAGCCTGATGAGGCAATATATGCGTGATTTCTTTTCTTGTGCGATGTGCACTAGGATGTTTTAAACTAAAGAATATGATTTTAACACGTCCCATTTTAATTCTGGAAACCCAAAAGTCCAGAAACTCTACGGTCTTTGCCGACTCTCGGTCAAAGTTATTTACAAATTAAACATGCTGTTTTCATGGGAACATACCAAGGA